TGTTTAGGTTTTAGGATAACAATTCCACTTTGATACCTGACCAAAAACAGAATATTGTTTGGAACCTTTTAGTTTTATGTTGAGGCGATCATAATCTCTTCCGATTTTATTCGTTAGCCTGGGGCCAGGGCTCTTATATTATCCGAGTAACACTCGCAAGATTAAGAATTGTGAGCAATTCAGAACAAACTGATTATCTTCAAAATATACTTATAACTTGAAAGTTTGTAACTGATCAACAACTATTATTTAGAAATTAGAATGTCTCAAGTATTGATATAGTATATTTTGAGGGATATATAAAAAAAACGCAAACTCGTTTAAAGTACGAAATGATAGGTTTAATTGCTTTACATGTAGTTATCCGATAGAATTAGGGTTGGTGTAGCTCATGACATGTGAGCTATTGGTAGATATCAACTGCATTATGTTATGGTTAGTGTTTAGCCCTTTCATTTAATTTGTTTAACGTAGGTAACATGGACCACTGTAAGTTGAGAAAAAGAACATAGATGTATATGTACGTACGTACACACATTATATACTTTGTAAAAAAAAAAATTGCATATTTTCCTTGCATTTATGTTTCAACTTGAATTTAGCTAGATTACGAAAATGACATTTTTTCATACTTTTTGTTGTTGTTTTGTTTGAGTTTTATTGGATTTCTAATTCTAACTGAGAGAATGAAAAACCCACTCTGAAAAACACAAAGACATTATGATAGTAATTGATAATTTATCTTCCCATTTTAATGGGTCCCATTATGATGATAGATTATTTAATTTTATTTATCTGCCTTCAGGAAAAAAAAATTGATATTTTAAATATCCTTCATTTATTATTGCTCACTCGTCGCAGAAAACAGAGATTCCTCGCTGTCTGAACTGAAATAAGATCGCATTAACTCAAAAGAGCTCACAAAGACAAAGATTTTCTCTCCTTCTTCCACCTTTCTTTTTCTTGTTTCTCTCTTCTGTCTGAAAGGTAACAATGGAGAACCCTCCGGATCAAACAGAGTCAAAGGAGATTCTTCAACCCAGAATCACTAGACCTAAGGGTGGACTTCTCACTATGCCTTTCATCATCGGTAAACATCTTTCTCTCTCTCTTTGATTTCTCTTTGAAGAAACCAAAATATCTCTCTGTTTTCCTCTAATTCTCTGAATTTCTTCTTCTTCTTCTTCTGTTTTACTGGGTGAAGCTAACGAGGGGTTCGAGAAAGTGGCGAGCTATGGTTTATTACAGAACATGATTCTTTATCTGATGAGTGATTACGGATTAGGAGTTGTGAAAGGACAAACAGTGTTGTTCATGTGGGTCGCTGCTACTAATTTCATGCCTATCGTCGGAGCTTTTCTCTCAGATTCGTATTTGGGTCGCTTTCTCACCATCGCCATTGCCTCTCTCTCCAGTTTCCTGGTAAAAAAAAAAAATTCTCCCTCTCTCAAGTCTTTCATTAATCTCGCCGCGAACCGGTTTATTCTTCTTCTTTTCTTTTTTCCCGGTTAACTCCGGTCTGTTTGCAATTTCGATTTCAACTCCGTTTAATAGCGGCAGCTAGAAGTTGACATTACTATTATTCGGTTTGAAAATGGGTTGGTCACGTTTATACGGTTTATTATCGATACGGACTTACGGAGGGGGCTTTGGTTTTGATTTTTTACTAAAATTGGAAATGGTAACCCGAGATTTTCGGTTTAGATTGATTTTTTTGGGTGAAATATGTTGTGAGTGAGTTCAAGGCTTCGATAATTGGACTTTACTTGCGTCGATAATTGGCTAAAATTCCGGTGAATGATTTCGGTTTTCGATAATTGGACTTTGCTTGCGTCGACAACAAAAGAGAATTCAATAAAATAAAATCTAACAGTCATAGAATTAAGGGCCTGGAATTAAATGGTACGAGGTTTTTTTTCTATGTATTTCTTTTATTATAAAAATTCTCATTGCGGAAGGGTGAGTTTTTGGTCTGGTAAATTTCAGGGGATTACTAGATTTTACTATCAAGTACTTACCATTTCCTGAATCATTAATAACTGTTTTTTTTTTTTTTTTTTTTTTTTTTTTTTTGCTTAAGTTAAAACACTGAGTTATTATATTAGAGTAATAAACTTGTACAGTGAAATTTCTATTTTAAGAGTTATAATTAAGCTTCTTTGTAGAAGCCTCTTTCCATTAAGAGTCAAAATTTCACATGTTGCATGTGCGACCCTGAAATTGCTGTCCAATGAATGATACCAAAGCACTTTAATTTTGAATATATGTTTCCACATAATAATATCAGAGAGTCGGTAAAATTTAATTAGAAAAAGCCAGGTGTTCTGAAATGTCCATGTGATTTAAATAAATAACAGGTCTTAAAATAATCATCATAGAGTATTTAATATAGATTATTATTAATTTTATTTCTTCTTTTAGAATTCTGGTTGCTTTCCTTGTGGCTGTGTGGCCTGTGGGCTTTCTCTGGCAAGTTGTGACCACACTGCCTGAATCTCTATAAGAAATATTATTTCTTACAATGAATTTTGTCACTATTTGTTGAATTGTATTTTTATTATTTATTATATGATGCATATAAATGGGCAAAAGCTGACGTGGACCTACATTTGCCACAGTCTAAGGATTTGACATTAGTTTTAGCAAACATATAGAAATGCTAGGCTGAAAGCAATATCGATTAGGGTGACCCATGTTTTTGTACTACTTGTCCCATTCTTGATCATACTTTTATTTCACCCACTTCAAAAAAACCTTATCATAGTAAGTATATCGTGACATCAGTTGATTTTGAAAACCTATAGCAATCATTTACCATAGTTAGTATATCGTGGCATCACATCAATTGATTTTGAAACCTATAGCAATCATTCATCTAGATCAATCATTATCCTTGAGAACATAATGATTTGGTATGATTATGACAACTGACGTATAGATCTGATCCTAAAATTCGGAGTCTTGTTCTTGGAAGTATTCTTTCTGTAAACATATCTACAGATTTTACGAAAGAATCGAAGACTACGTTTTGATAAAGCTGTCCTCCTGTAATAGTAAACAGACAAAATCTTTAAAATGCAAATAATTGCATTATACTAAGTCTAATATTTGATAAAATATTCCCTTCGATTCATGTCAATTTCTAAGAATTTTGTTGATGAATTGTCTGAATCCAACGTTGTAGGGGATGGTGGTTCTATGGCTAACGGCGATGTTACCTCACGTGAAGCCATCACCGTGTCTAGCATCTGCCGGAACCAAGTGCAGTTCCACGGCGGCGACTTCTTCTCAATTGGCTCTTTTATACACCGCATTTGCACTTATATCGATTGGATCAGGCGGAATCAGGCCGTGTTCTCTAGCCTTTGGCGCTGATCAGTTGGACAACAAAGAGAATCCCAAGAACGAGAGAGTTCTTGAGAGTTTCTTCGGTTGGTACTACGCTTCTTCATCTGTCGCTGTCTTGATCGCTTTCACTGTCATTGTTTACATTCAAGATCATCTAGGATGGAGAATCGGGTTCGGAATACCCGCGATTCTCATGCTGCTCGCCGGTATCGTGTTTGTTTTCGCGTCTCCTCTCTACGTTAAACGCAGTGCGACCAAGAGCCTCTTCACTGGTTTAGCTCAAGTGGCTGTTGCAGCTTACTTGAACAGGAAGTTAACGCTACCGGATCATAATGACTCATATGGTTGTTACTACCACTTGAAAGATTCTGAACTCAAAGCTCCAAGTGATAAATTGAGGTAAAACAAAATCAATCATATAATTTTATAGTTTTTGATTGGTTTCTTGACTTTTGACACCACTATTGCAATTGATTAGGTTTCTGAACAAAGCTTGCGTCATAAGAAACCGCGAGGAAGACATTGGTTCTGATGGTTTGGCCTTAAACCCATGGAGGCTCTGCACAACGGACCAAGTAGAGGAACTCAAGGCGTTGGTCAAGGTGATACCAGTCTGGTCCACAGGTATTATGATGTCTATAAACGTTAGCCAGAACTCGTTTCAGCTGCTTCAAGCCAACTCAATGGACAGACGTTTGAGCAGCAACTCAACCTTCCAAATCCCAGCTGGATCTTTCGGTATGTTCACAATCATAGCCTTAATCTCATGGGTTGTTCTCTACGACCGAGCCATCCTCCCGTTAGCTTCCAAGTTCCGAGGTAGACCGGTCAGAGTCAGCGTCAAGATTCGAATGGGACTAGGGCTGTTCATATCCTTCTTAGCGATGGCGGTTTCCGCAACTGTTGAGCATTACAGAAGGAAAACCGCGACGAACCAAGGGCTCGCAAACAACGCCAACGCAGTAGTTAACATCTCGGCAATGTGGCTTGTACCGCAGTATGTGCTACACGGTCTAGCAGAGGCCTTGACCGGGATAGGACAGACCGAGTTTTTCTATACCGAGTTTCCTAAAAGCATGTCGAGCATCGCGGCTTCGCTGTTTGGTCTAGGAATGGCAGTGGCTAACATCTTGGCTAGTGTGATCCTCAATGTGGTCAAGAACAGCTCAAAGAAGGGCAAAGAGAGCTGGATTGAAGATAATATCAACAAGGGTCATTATGACTATTACTATTGGGTTTTAGCGATATTGAGCTTCGTTAATGTCATCTACTATGTGGTGTGTAGCTGGTCGTATGGTCCCACGGTGGATCAGGTGAGGAATGATAAGGTTAATGGTGTGAGAGAGGAAGAAGAGGATCAAGTTAAGTTAAACTAAGATCCAACTGGTTCCATGATTCATCATGGTGTGTGTGTTATGAAGAAATTATATATATATTTGTATGTATGTAATTAGATTATATATATATTAAGATGGATTTGGATTTAGGAAGTAGAGGATTATATTAGTAGGTGTGTTTATTTCTTACAAAATTCCATTGTTGTGTGTGTGTGTGAGATATCTGATTAAAGAAAATCAAAAATTCCAAATGGCCATTTGTGTGTTTATGAATCATTTTTAATTTGAGAAAGATAAACAAATTCAAAGCTTACTAAGATTAGAAACTTTGACTCCGAGTGGGGCCATCCACAACCTTCCTGTGGCTAGGATCTCTCCATCTCTTTCTCTTGTAATCTCAATCACAGCTGACTTTAATCCTCCATTGGTCCCTATCACTTTTGCTTCTATCTCTACTTTTTCCTGCAATTTATATCATATCGAATTATATTTTCTTTACTAAACAATTAGTACTATTATATTTAATCCGCTTTAGAGCATTTGCAATTAATGAAGAAGCGAGAATTGCGTAACAAACAATCATTAAATTGTAAGAAAAAGTCATCCACAAAATTGACTTTACTTAAGTTGCTAAAATCACATTTTACCTAAGTAATTAGTAATTTTCATGTTTCATCTAAGTCTAATTTAATTTACGGTGCCAAAGTTCACGATTTGTCAAATCTCCCACTAATATTCTAATATTTTTTTTCTATAAACATTTTAGATAACAGTCAGTAACACAGAGAGAAACAAGGATACGAAACCGAACTTGAATATTGACCGTTGAATAAAAGGAAGAGTTGAGATCAACAGACGAATAGAGTCCGTCGCCGGTAGAGTAGACAGCAGCAGCGCCGATCGAATCCATCACCGTCGCAATCGCGCCGGCCTGCCAAGTTCCATCTTCTCCCTGAGATTCTCCGATCATTAATATTAACATTCACCAATTTTCAAAGAAAAAAAAAAAAAAAACCGATCAAATCTCGATGGATGAGTAATTTTTACTTACGGCGACTCGATCCGTGACGAGCAATTTACATCGTATGATTCCTTTGTCGACATGGATGAGTTCTAAGCCTTGGAGGATTAAAGCCTCTATCTCGCTAGGACCGTTTCCTTTTGCCAACTCTTCCAGATACGACGTCGTGTACAGGATCGTTGAATCTACCATCGCTGCTATTCTTCTTCTTCTTCTTGGGAATTTAAATAAATAAATCAGATAACGTCTGAGTGAATTATATGATCGGATCAGATCAGTAACTAAATTACGATTAACCCTTTGAGTGGTGATTAGCCAACGCCAAATATTTAAATAAGCCAACTTTAGCCGAGATTAAAGAAAGAAACTGGTCAACCTCTTCTCCTTTTTCACACTTTCGATTTGTTCTTCTTCATGAGCATAGTAACAGAGGCATACCATAAAGATTTACTTTCCAAATTGAGATTCTTGACGTTTATTAAGTCAACCACTATATTTTCACCAGCAAACATGTAAGAATAGAAACATTGTGTTTGACTTTGACTCCAAGTGGGGACATCCACAACCTTCCAGTTCCAGGGGATATCATTTCTCCATCTCTTTTCTCTTCGAATCTCAATCACAGCTGATTTTAATCTTCCATTGCTCCCATTCATCACTCTTGCTTCTACCTTCTACAATTTATTCATATCTAATTTTTATTTTATTTTTTTAGACCAATCATGCATGACACGGTAATATATAATATCAAAATTTTACTGTATACGTTTTTAAGGATGATGAGTACCAAACAAATATAATTACGGTTTACTTTCCAGATAGTTTCAGATTCTTATTTAGCCAACCACATAATACAGAGACAACAATAAAATAAAATCGAAAGATACATTTATGCATTTTTGTGTTGTGCTATCAAAGAAACAAGAAGCAACCAGAGACATCCATTGTTGTCCGAGAATTTACTCTTGATCATCCAGAGATTTCTTTAGCTCTTTCTTGTTCACCTGCAACTCGAAAAACAAAAACAAAAAATACTATAAAAACTGAGAATGATTCTTTTTTATATAAACCAAACCGACATCTCTCGTATCATTCAATAGAAAGCTTTCAAGAAGCATTTAATTTACCTTTCCCATGGCGTTGCGGGGCAAGCTCTCCCATATCAGCAAACGTGTTGGTAACTGTAAAAACACAGAAAATTATGGGTAATAAGGTGAATAATGTTTATTACATACACTCATGTGTGTGTTTTAATATCATCTTGGCAGATTTTGAAGTACCTTGTACGGAGCAAGCTTGTCTTTAGCCCAACCGCAGAGTTCTTCCAAGGTTACTACAGGTTTTGACTCACCTTCTCTTTTCCTCTTTGCCTCGGTCTCTGCTACAACTATCGCAGTTACGGCTTCCCCATAATCTTTGTCTGGTAACCCCAACACGCAACATTCTGCAACCTTAGGGTGCTGCATAACACAACACAACCCAGAGAGATTTCAGTTAACCATTAAAATTCTCATCGGTTTAGTTGTCTAAAAATTTCTATTCTCTACTTCACCAGGATGTTAAGTGTTACCTCGAGAAGAGTTGATTCGATTTCTAAGGCTGACAATTTGTATCCTCCAACCTTCATAATGTCAGCGCTATTGCCTGATTGAAACCAGAGAAGATAAGACATCAAGCAAATGAACCACACAAAGCACTTATAGATATACTTATGGGTTCCTTCTTACGTCCTAGAATAACGAAATATCCATCCTCATCCACTCTACCAGCATCTCCCGTCTTGAAGTAGCCATCTTCCGTAAATGATTCTTTAGTCACCTCTGGAAGATTCCAGTACTCCTTGAACAAAGATGGGCTTTTAACACAAATCTCACCCACTCCATTCGAATCATTTTCATCTTCTTTGATTTTCGCCTGTCATGTTACAGACACTTTTTTCAGTGTCACATTCACAGCTACGTGTCACAGTATTAGTAAGTTTGGACCTAAGAGAAAGACGATCTCACTGACCTCCACGCCGGGAAGCGGTTTGCCGACAGTACCTGCCTTCCGTGCACCTTGTAATGGGTTTGATATTGCCATTACAAACTGGGAATATTGAAATAAAAATTAAAGTTCAGTAGATGTAACACACTTTTTCTAAGGTATTGTATAGTGGCAAATAAAAGAGACATGAAGAACTACTTACCTCAGTCATGCCGTATCTTTCCAAAAGACGATGACCTGTGATACTTTCCCATTGATGCATGACTGGTCGAGGGAGAGCAGAGGAGCCAGACATCTGAAAACGTATTTCATCCGCAAACATGTAAGCACGATTTTCATCAATTTGAAATACAATTGCCGTCTAAACATATAAACGATAATCATTAAGCTGGATTTGCGCTTTGAGGAGATATTTGGCTGCTTACCATTAGACGAAGCTTCCGTGCAGCAAAAGCGCTCGAGTCCTGCATCTCTTTATCCATTGCTTCATAACCTTGTATCAACCGAGTATACATGGTCGGAACCTGTTTATCACAACATTCACCTTAACCAATTGAAAAAGTTAAATCTCTCTCTCGCTTTCTCATTTTTGTCTCATGCTAAGTAAACCGTGTTTGTTCTATATATCTAGACAATCATTTTGCTACATAATATCATTGAGTTAATTGGCGCTGTATACTTCTCTTGATTCAGATATTAACCGAAACTCAAGAAAAGGCTTATGCAACAGGGAATTAAACAATTAGCTTGAGGCAGGGACAGCTAACGCATGGATTAGTAATTTTTTAAGGATCAAAGCAAAGACAAGAAAAGACTTACCCCAGTAAATACAGTTATGGCGTCCTCAGTTTTCTCATCATTCACCGGATATGATTCACGCCATCTACGCCAGATTCCACTAACACTAAATTTGGGCAAAAACTCAACCTTCATAGAGGAATGTAAACAGCAATTTAAAACCTATAGCCAACCTAATGTTTTCAGAAGGTAATGTATTTTGATAGAACTAGCCGGAGCATATATAGGTAGAATAAGTTACCAAAGACCGTGTGTAAAGGGGAGCAAATAAAGCATTGAAGAGCCCATGAACATGATGTAGTGGGAGGCAGTGGAGAAAATGATCAGCAGATGTGTACTCCCAAGCTTCAGTTAGCATTCTTACCTGCAACATATACAAGCTTATAACTTATAAGGCACACCGTAGCTTCGCTTGCTCACTGGAGAGACAGATGAATGCTTCTAATATTCAGGAGAGATCCTATTTTCTATCAATTCGATCTATACAGCTACATTCTAAACTTGACGTGAGCTACATCTGGAGGTTGGATATATACCTGGGAATTGATGCTATTGTGAGTGTGGACAACTCCTTTTGGTTTACCAGTTGTACCACTAGTATAGACGATCAACGCTGGATCATCTGCAAAGATAAAGACTGATGTGAATGTAGAAAAGACAGACCAACAATTGCTTGAATGCGTATGATGGAAGAAATTAAAAGAGCAACCTTAGATATATAAGTTCATGATTTCAAGCATATTCAAGATTTTACCTAGAAGCTTTCCTTCCTCTTCAAAACTGGCATCTTGAAACTGATTGCTAGCCACAGTTTCCGACGTTGAGTTAACAACATGGGGAATCAGAAGAAATCGAGCATCACTCTTTGCTGCGATAGCTTTCATAGTTTCACTATGGTCCTCTGTACTCAGTAACAGAGATATTTCCTAGAAACCAAAGAAAACAAGATGATATAGCCCAAGAAACTGTGAATATTTCTTATTACAGAGTTAATTAGAAGCATTAAGGCACACTCTTATTCTTTTTCATACCGAATCATTCATCACGTGTAAGAGTTCAGCTTCAGGATAGCTGAGTGCAAGTGGAACCGCAACGCCGCCACTAAACCAAGTCCCCAGAACTCCGGCAACAAACTCAGCTGAAGGCTTTGCGACAATTCCAACTCTAGCTCCTTGAAGACTACCAAACCCTTCATACTTGCTAGTTTCACCTCCCTAATAAATTTTCAGAGAAGCGAGACAGACAATCAATAAACCAGAAACCTGTTAAGAGGCTTCGCCAATAAAAAAAAACAAAAAGATGTGATTGGCTTCAAGTACGTTTGTGGTATCATCTTTGCAGAATAGTTTAGATATTCTCAAGGCAGACGATGTTAGCTGGCCATAAGAGTAACTCTTTCCATCGGCTTTAATCGCTATCTTGTCGCAGGAATTAGAACCTTCTGAAGAAACTGATTTAAACACTTCCATGAGTGATCCACTCTGTGAAGCTGCAGCATTTGATTACATCAATCATTTCAGGTCACAGAATATATCACAGAGATAAAATTCAGATTTTTAAAAACAAATTTTTTTGTTGTTGCAAATTGTATAAACGAATAGTAAAATCAGAAGGGATTTTCAAACAACAGATCCAATTGTTCTGTTATGTGGACCATCAACGTTTATATACCGAAATCGCGAATCTTTAAGACATTTCGTCGAACATGTAATATGCGTGAGCAGAAAAAGAAAGGAAGACGAACCCAAACCAAACAAAAAAAAGCCGGATAAAAGGGAACTTACAGAAGAGATGGTTAGATTGGAAGAATCGAAATTCAGAATTGAAGAACGAAGAAGCTGGCTGGAATCGAGGAAGACGACAGGCCAGAATTGTATAGTAATGGAGCCGAGGGTTAATGAAAGAGAAGTAGTTGAAACTCTTTAATGTAGCGGTCATTTTTAGGTTCGCAAGTAAATGATGTGTGTCGTTCGTTAAATTTACTCGATCAAAGATGAATCGGCTTTTTCTCCTAGTCGTACAGTCAAATTACGTAGCCGTTCATCTTAGGTTGCAATCGCCAATCGCCAAAAAAAAAAGAGAGAAGCATTTCGTCGGATATAGCGACTAAAAGCGTTTGGCGCCGGGACGTGTCCAAGTTTTCAACAAAGTGTTTTGCAGAGGGAATTCGGCACGTGTGCGTGTCTGAGGTGGGAAATACTAGAAAAGTGACAACTGACAAGCGTTAATGGCTTTCTGTCGTTTTATGTCTTAGGATGATGATATTTTCAGAGAAATGAAAATCGGAGTAGTTAAGCACTTTTTTTTTGGTAAATACACTGATTACTTGTCTTTTCATTTATTTAGGTCGTAAATTTCTTTAAGTAACAGTAAGACCATCAGTAAATTCCACCTCCATTGCTTTGTAATCCTAATCGTTGATATTAACAATTGTGGTGATTAAAAACAAACATGTTACAGCCTACATGCATGCAATGGTTTGAAAATATTTCATTTAATGCCAACATGCAATTAATGTCTTTAATCAACTATTTCAATGCATTGTCTAACTTCGGAAAAAAAATAAAAAAAATTATACTAGTACTCCGTTTGACTAAAAAGTAACATGTTACAGGCCATGAAAGGCTTAAACGTTTTTTTTTCAGCAAAAAAAAGGACTTATTCATTTTATGTTGTAATTTAAAACTGATTTTATTTGTAAGACTTACTATATTTAGAGTAATATATACTTCATCCTTCTCATGAACAACGTAATTTTAGCATGTTTCACAAAAACTAAAACTATTTGGAAACGCACAGTCACAGATATGCTCATATGAATTTCTCAGTGGAATGAAATGAAAATGTTACCAAAAAAAATATTATACGTGGAAAACAAACATGTAAACAATGTTTATTGTCAAAACAAAAATTGATCCAACCATCATTTCGATCCACCAATCAAACTAGACAATCACGAAATGAGTAGATTCCAATAAGCCCAACGGCCCATATAAAGCAATTAAAAAAATCTTCAACCTCCTCTCATCTTCCCTACCCTCTCGTTCCCTCCAAGATCTCTCTCTCGATTTTGAAATTTCGTAATTTTTGTTGTTCTCAGAAAACCGTTTGGTTTTTGGGAAAAAAAAAAAAAGGAGATTCAATCATCGTCCCGTTTAGGATCCAGTAATCTGCCAGCCATGGGCGATTCTTCATACGCTTCGATCTGATCTATGAATCGACGATGTTCTGAGAATTTCTCACCGATCATACTCAAAATCGGTACGCTAAATCGAGGGAAATCACTTGTGTGGCGAGCGGCGACTATGTGAATGGTCGATCGATATGATAGGTAAAGAAGATTCCGGCGCGATTGCGACAGAGAAGAATCTCAGGGAGCTCGTTTTCACCAAATTAGAGTCATCTCCCATCGTTCCAGAGTCGCCTATCAGAGAACTCCCTCTTTTTCCTCCGATTCCTCGGTAATGTTCCAAGTTCGTGCGATTATCTTCCATACATATGCTTTATCGTTTGAGTAATTTCGTTCCAGAAGTTAATGATTCAGAGAATCTCGTGCTTAGTTATCTCGCTATCTGATCGTAATTGGTCTCTAATTCGAAGCAGAGAGCCTTCAGCGTCTCCAGAAACAAAGGCAGATCACGAAGGTATTACTCGGAGGAAGCAGAAAGGATGTCGCTGCCGGCAATCCAAATGTTTAAAGCTGTAAGATGACTTTCAGGAATCAAATCTCTTTATGCAAAATCTAATGTTGAATAGAGCAAGCTGTGAGAGAGTTCTTCCTTAGTTTCATCTTGTTGGTACCAACACTTAGAGAGGAGATGCTATGGATTGTTGGATATATATATATATATATATATATATATATATTTGTTTGACAATACGCTCGCTTGGTGATTAGGTACTGTGACTGCTTTGCGTCAGGAGTGTTGTGTAGCGACTGTGATTGTGCTGATTGTCATAACAACGATGGGAACTGCGATGTCAGAGAAGCAGCTATGGTGAATGTACTAGAACGCAACCCAAATGCCTTCAATGGAATGCCTTTCAGCATCCCAATTGACAAACAGGTTCGTTTTTTCAAACCTATCAATCTGTGAGATTGAAGAGAGAACTGTAGAACTACTTGCCATAAGGTTAAACTTCGAAACAGTATGTGCTTTTGTATTGTAGTATATGCCTGCAGCTGATATTAAACTTGGACTGCTTTCGAGAGGCTGCAAATGCAAAAGAACAAAGTGCTTGAAGAAGTACTGTGAATGCTTTCAGGCTAATGTTCTGTGCTCAGAGAACTGTAAATGCATCAACTGCGAGAACCTCACTGAAGCGATCCAGGCTTCTGTTTTTGCATGTGGACTAAGCAACAGGGATCTTTTTGGAAGTTATGAGACGCCCGAGAACAATAATAATGTCAATGCTGTAGGATCCATTTATACTAACAGAGACAATGTTGGCTTCAACAGCCATAATACTGCTGGTTGTATGAATTATGCTCCTGGAAATTCTACTCACAGTCCCCTACAGGTATATCGGAGGAGAAGATTCAGGGAATTACCTGAGGCAAGTGAAAAAAAACACAACCTGCTTCACTACTTATATGCACTTTTAGGTTTTATATCCACAGACTCATTTTTTCTCTCTGTTCGGAACAGCAGTGGAATTCTTGTCCAACTCCTTTAAGTTCGATGCCTGACAATTCCATTCTAAATTCTCCTGGATTCCCTATGTATAGCTCTCCTAAACTCCCTTACAGGTTCGCTTTTTGCATTTCATCTTCCTTTACCTTATAGTCAAGATATTCAACTGGATCTGTTGTAAACATCAGGAAGAAAAGGTCGCGGTTGGGATATACCACCACACTTGTTCCGGACTTTGGAGATCTACTCTCACTTCTCTTAGAAGCATCTGAATCTGCTATAGCCAATGCAGGTATCAAATCTTTCTTTTAGATCCACCATTCTGTCCTGCTTGGTTTCATCAATACTTCCTTTAAAATCTCACGAGTCACGACTGTTAGTAGTCAACATCCCAGTGTTGGAGATGCAGTCAGGCTTAGAAGACCAGAACAGGACATGCATAAAGGCTGATGATAAGGAAGAAAACATTGGCATTGAGCTATCGAATGAGTCTGAGAGTGGTATTGTGGAAGAAGATATACAGTCCTGTGGAAGATTGATCGAACTGATAGATGCTCAATACAATGTAGAAGATGATTCGCACTGTAGTAAGACCAAGAAAAGTGGCCGTGTTACAGATATCTACATGGAGCAGGAAAAGGCAGTGCTTGAAACTTTCAGAGACTATCTCCACAAGTACATCAAGTTTGGATTCATTAAAGGTACTAATTCCATCTCACTTTGATAATTTCATTCCCTCCATCGTCAAAACCCAATTACTACCACTTTTAGCTGCTAATTGTGACAGGTCAGGTTCATTCAACAAGCGGGAAGCCAAACCATAACTAAATACTGAAGCAGAGACAGCTTAAGAAATCTTAAACAGGAAACTGACAAATCGAAACCAGAATAAACACACGTCAATAATGAACTGGAGGTAAACAAATACCTAAATTTACTACTCCAGGTTTATGTTGAATAACCAAGATCAATAAACTAATGATTGATTAAGAGACCACACTAAGACATCTCTTTTCAAAGCTGACTCATTCCCACATAGCAACCTCCATGAACCCATCCTCCGTTGCACATCCCCTGAACATCCCATTAGAGTTAAAACCGCAAACCACCTCTCCTTTATTCGACACGGCGATGAGTCCAGCGAACCCTTCGTCTAGTCGATGCTTGATGACGTAATCAACCGCTTCCTGAAGCCCAACCCCTTTATACTCCATTACCGCCGACACGTCACGCGCTAGCGTCGACCTTATGATGGCTTCTCCCTCTCCGGTACACGAAACTCCACAGAGCTCCGACGCATACGTCCCGGCTCCTATTAGCGGCGAGTCTCCGATCCTTCCCATCATCTTGTTCATCAGACCACCGGTCGATGTCCCGGCGGCGCACCGTCCTTCTTTGTCCACCACGACGCAACCGACCGTCTCCGGCGCGTAAATACTGATCGGGAGACCGTTCATCTGAATCGGACTTTCGGTGGCTGCTGCGCCGGCGCATCCCATCGGCGGGATCCGGTAATCAAACTGAAAAAACAAAAAAACACTGAGCACACGATTAAAAAAAATGGACGATGGAGATTTAGTCAAATCGTATACCAAGATGGAGTTAGCTTCTTTGGCCAGCTTGAGCATCCCCACGTTGTCGTCCGTGACGAAGTACTCGTTGTCCACAATTTCGACTCCCTATTCATAAACCAATCGATTTCGGTTAAGCAAAAAATTTAACCGAGTGGTTAAGAGTAAAAAGTGGAGGGTCAAAAGAGTAAAAAATAAACCTGTTTGCGGGCGAAATCCTCTGCGCCGGAGAAAGCAAGGTAAGAGTGGGGAGATTTGTCCATTACGAGACGAGCGAGAGATATCGGGTTCTTCACGGTGGTTATACCCGAAACCGCACCGCATCGTCTCCTCGTACCGTCCATAATGCTTGCTTCCATCTCTACCGTCCCTTTTTCCGTCAGAGCAGATCCACGGCCTGAATTGAACAGAGGATCCGTCTCCAATTCTCTCACCTGTGTTGTTTTAAAAAAGGTCAATTAAATAAACCAGCGTCGGGTAAAGAAGAAAACAAATCTAAAACTATTTTGTGAGAAAAGAAGACGTACGACGAGCTCAACGACGTCAATAGCGGAGATATTGGAACTTAAAGCTGCTATGCCGAGGTTGAGACAGCGAGTCAAAAGCTGTTTCGCCTCTTCTTGTCTCTCGACGGGAAGATTAGGGTCGATTCCTGCGCCACCGTGTACTGCGATTGCCCACCTGCCCATTCTCTTCTTTCTTACAATCTCTCTCTCTCTTTCACAAAGGTCTCTCAACAGTTTACACCTTTAATAAATTAACCAAGTTTTGATGGGAGAAAGGAAGAGTCGCATTGAGTACTTTATATAGAGGCCCTTACGATGAAAGGTGGACACACATTTAAAGGAGTGGGGTCAGCTGCTTCCACGTCATAATTGTTATAGAATCTTTAAAAATTCTCGTTTTTTTACTTAACAAGAATCTTTTTATTTACCCCGATCATCTAATATTTTATTTCTTCTTTTGTTTGTTTTTTTTCTTTTTAAAAACAAAAATATCCTCCGTAAATTTTTGTTTTGTTTCCTTTCTAATTTATTTTGGTCAAACCATTTCTTTTCAAATTAATTTTTAATAACCAATCAAGTAGTAGATACTGATAATGATACAATAATACTCCTCACACTAGTAAAAAGAAGAGATAATTATTATTTTTATATATGAAGATTGTAAGTGGTCCTCGGAACTTGCAAGTGTTAAGTTTAATTTAACATCTGTTTTATATACTATGCACGAGAGCGAGACAACTGTTGGTTATTACAGTATGTATTTCTTTTTGTCTTGTTTTCACTTTGTCGCATTCTACCATGCAGAAGATGGACCAATTTCTAGTAATAAAATCTGTTCGACAGAAATAGCTAATTCTCACAACTTGTGATAAAATAAATTAAATCTCCAAGTTGGCGCGCATGCAATTTCCCTTTCTGTTTAAACAACTTGCCTTCTTTTCCCGTGTTTTGTTTATCGTCAACTTTGAGCTAATCAACGTCAATACTGATAACTCAATATTATGTGTAAAGTCTATCTATCTTGTGTGTTATTTGGGTCCAACTCGACAGGTTTATCAGAAAATTAATTTTCTATAACTAATCTAACGTAATCGTATGCATCGCATTTTCGCCCCTGAGGTGTATCGGATCCCATCATACGCATCGAAATATTGATTTCATACGTCATATACACCGAAACATTTCTGTCCTGATATGCATTGAATCCATACATGCAAGCCTCTTTTGGAAAGATGATAATCTTTATAATAATATTCCAGGTAAGCATGCGGAGTCTCTGATGGCACTATATTTGGTAAGCCTCTATGTAGACAAGAAAGAATAAATTATTGAAACACTCTGCTTACTTTACATAATTCAGTATTTTAAAGTTGTTAATATGTAACAATAAAATATCACGTTTATCAATAACAACAAAAACAATTAAAAACCGCAAATACCACATTATAATGAAATTAAGAATACATTTTTTTGTCAACTAGACATCTTTTCAAAGAAAAAAGCGCAGACAAATGTTTGTTTCCCAGCGTGATTCAATTCAAGTTTTCATATCGGTGGAGTTGTAAAGTAATTGTGGCATGCACTTTCGAGCAATTAGCAAGATCCTACGCATTAGGAATGATTTATTTACCGCAGGATCTGTGTCTATATATGTAAAATTTTATTGGTGGCCAGTTACGTCTCTCTGTCTCTCTCTCCACATGTTTGGGAATCTCCGAGATTTTCTATTCATGCATGGAAAAGGACAGAGCCTAGTGACTTGTGTTGTGGATTCCAATAGATTCCGTCACGTGATAAACTCTAATTAGAAGACGAATCCTCTCTTCCCTCTCTATTGCCTCTCCCGTGTCTGAGGGGTCAATTAGATCCCCCACTCTCGTGGAATCTTGTCCTCTCATTCGTGTTTCGAAGCCCCCACCTCTCGCCGTCCTTATTATGAGATCAACTGCAAAAAAGGAAAAAAAAAACTGCAAAAAAGTTTTTTTTTCCTAAGAAAATTACAAAATAATTTTTTGATTCTGCTTTCATTACTTATAAATTTCAATAAAGAAATACTTCTTTTTATGAAAAGTGTCATTTTAACATATTTTATACAAATTCGAAGAAAAGGAGAAATAAACGATATAATTGGAGCCTACGGCCTACCCTTGATAAGACATCATAAAGGAGCGGCGGATATAGTGAAAGAGCTAACATGACTTCGGTTTCAGCTTGACTATTAGCTGTTTCAGTGGCTACAATATTTATAAGTTAAAGAATGTCGTTCCGAACAATGTATGATGCCTCTTTCATAAATGTGAAAAAAAAAACTAATTGAAAGTGGTAAATTGTATGAGTTTCAAATTTAAAACCGATTGACAATGAGTCAATTGGTCCGTTGGTCCGTATTGTTTATACATCAATGTTAGCAGAATCAAATTTTCAAAGTGAGATTCTTTTACATCCCTTCAAAATGATGAATTTTCTCGGTTCATTTCGAATAGGCCATACTATTATTTAGGTTAACAAACGAATTTTGATATCATGTCAAGTTTCAAAGCTTGTAACTTATAATTAATTGACGTTAGATGAGTTGGTTGATATCCTTATATGTATTTTTAATAGATATAATTATCATCAACGGACCACGAGAGCCCATTTATCCCACAATGAGAAAACCTCACTTAGGAGGAAAAGATGAGTCCTAGCCATTAGACTATAATATCTTCGGCTCAATGGTTATTTAACTATATTTTTGTGTGTTATTTTTTTAAAAAGACTATATTTTGTGTTAAGGTTAATAATATTTTCTCGAGATAAAGATGAAAGATCAGAGCCCAAAAAAAACGAATCATTCAAAAATCTATAAAAAAGTGTAACGAAATAGTATATGGGTGTGGTTCAGAAAACTTACATCTGGCTGATTTTTTTTTTTTTTTTTTTTGAAGTGAATATTAAATTAATTCAAACAGAAAAAAACTATATTACATTAAGTACAGCCTGTAGTTGAAGATTTTAAAGAATAAATCTTAATCAAAACTTAATTCATAAAACAAGGTACCCAAAAAGAAAGCGTTTCCCAATATTTGACAAACCAGATGAAAATCAAAACAAGTTAGGAGCTGATTAGTGTTTTTGTTAAAGATAGCCTTATCTTATTACGTTACACGTGGCATTTTGTAAGTGGCGTAAGAAGATCCTCAAGAAGAGATCTCAGTTTGCCACGTGAGAAGAAGATCAAAATCGTTCCACTCATTTTGACCAAAGGCGATCTTAAACAAGTTTCAAAGCATCCATTGTTACACACAACCAAAAAAATATAGTGATCGAATTCGAATCCCATGGCGTCTCTTGCAACCGTTGCCGCCGTGAAGCCATCCGCCGCCATTAAGGGACTTGGCGGCAGTTCACTCGCCGGAGCTAAGCTCGCCACTAAGCCTTCTCGCCTGAGCTTCAAACCCAAATCCATCAGGTAACTTAAACCACACCCTATAACATAGAAGTTAGTTTCATAGTTCATAACTTCATAGAAATCTGCAAAAATCTTATTGCTGAAGAAAGAGCGTATATCAAACATAAACAGTGATGAAAATTCCAAGAAGATGAATGTTGGCATTTTCCTCTCTTGTAGATTAATTAGCTTGAGGTTGTTCTTCATCTGTAATTAGGTCTGGTGCTGTGGTGGCAAAGTACGGAGACAAAAGTGTCTACTTTGACTTAGAAGATTTGGGTAACACAACAGGTCAATGGGACCTATACGGCTCTGATGCTCCTTCTCCTTACAACCCTCTTCAGGTTTGATTCATCTCAAAAAACCTAATCGGCTACGAAACTCAGTATCTTTAGATAGAGTTTCAATTTGTGTAACGACAATTGTTCTTTGTTTACTTGTAGAGCAAGTTCTTTGAGACATTCGCTGCACCATTCACAAAGAGAGGATTGCTCCTCAAGTTCTTGATTCTTGGAGGAGGCTCTTTGCTTACTTACGTCAGCGCTTCGTCCACCGGTGATGTTCTTCCGATCAAGAGAGGTCCTCAGGAGAAGCCTAAGCTCGGTCCTCGCGGCAAGCTCTGAATTTAGATTCATGCATGTTTGTTATACCTTGTCTTCCTCCAATTCTAATCTCAGAAACATTTCTCAATACTGCAAACCAGTTAAAAATCATTAATTTGATGTATATTCTGCTTCTCTGTTACATTTGGAACGTTTTTGCTTTGCCTAATTTTACAAAAGAAATGGTTTTGTTTTTTGTTTTTTTCAAGAGTATCGCCCTGCGGTTGGACTCCTTGTGGTTCCAAGAGATTCAAGATAAGAACCAGTCTTCTTGTTGTTAGCCATGATCATGCTTGAGACTCTGGTCAACAGTTTCTTGCCTGATTCTTTGAATGGCGCATCGTTCTTTTCTTTCTTGGACTGTTCTTGGTCTTCCATATTCCACTGCATTACCTGTGACAGTGAAATGGGACGCTTCTGCTTTTTGGGTCTATCCTCTAAAAGACAAAAGTTTTGTTCTTCTTCCTTCTTCGGACTCTCTGTTTCCTTCACTATATATCTCTTACAAACCGCGATTTCAGGGTCCTGCGTTAGCTGATCAGCTTCAAGAACATCCTCTATTCTTGATACTACCGTGTATGCCAAGCTCTCAAGAACCCTCGAATAACTCTCCATTATAGCTAACCCTATATCCTGCAAAAAAAAAAAAACGGATTTTTTAATGACAGAACATAAACAAGGAAATGTTTAATGCGATATAATATACGTTTTTGATTGATTACTTTGTTGAATTGTATCTTGCTGATGTCAAGTGTGGATTGAGAGATCCCAGGGAAATCTTGTTTGAGAAGAAGCAAGATTGTTTCTGCTCTTTCTTCCAACTGTTGTCTCTTATCCATACTCAAATTCGTACTAAATGGAGACGACGACTTGTTGTCTTTCTGCAAAATCTTTCTCTTCCATATCACATCCGAAGCTTCGAATTTGTTCTTTAGATCAAGAATCTTGTGCTCAGATGATAAATCCATTTCAAGAAGGAATTGCTCTGCATCAAACATGTCTAATGTTATCATTCTGTAGATCGCATCTCCAAGACTAGCTCTCCCATTCTGTAAAGATAAACACAAAAAAGGGATCCATCGATGATGAATCTTGAATCTTGAATCTTGATTATGTGTTAGTAGCTCTCAGAGGCTCAGAGCTTAGAGTTTAGATTTAGGGTTTATATACCTTAGGAAGTGAGTCAATGTAGCTCTCAGGGATTTCCATTTGAGACAAGACTTCAGCGTTTATGGCCATTGCGGATTTGAGAACTTGGCTCACACATTCTTTCTGACTCAGTAGAAACCTTTTCGACGTTTCAGATAAGCCTTTAGGTGGAACTCTCACTGAAGGAAGCCACCACTTATCATCGTTCCTGGACGAGTTATTGCTTAAAGATTCCGGAGAATCGGTTGTGACGTAATAGAACTCATCCTGATCCTTGAATGTATCAAGACAATCCTGCAAAAGTTGTATCAACCTTTAGATCTAGTTGATGCAAATGCAAAGAAGCAATTTAAGATTATTTTGTTTTGACTTACGATGAGCATCAAATCGAGTTTCTTAAGAGCAGGTATATTGGAGACAAGATCTGTTCTCTGTCTCGTAGTCATTACCTACAACAAAAGATTTAAATTTAGACACACAGAGAGAAATAAAAAGCTTTCTCTCAAAAACTAAGAGTAAGGGAAAATGTTTTCAGAAACCTCCATAGAAGATCCATCCTTGTTTGTTTGTTGCGTTGGAGAGAATTCAACTATATGATCAGTAACAGAGAGAAGCCATCCGATTTCTCTTCTCCACCGTTCTTTTCTATCCTCAGACATTGGCTCTAAACGCCGCTGCTCTCCAAACGCAGAAGCTGAAAGATTTGTGATTGCGTTTGATAATGCCAATGCTGACGTAACACCTTTGCCTCCTCCTGACATGTCTTCTCCTAGAAGCAATTTCGCAAACCTTTCTTTCATTTGTTCCTTTTCTGTAACATATACATATTAAGGCAAAAACATGAGTTTTCTGTGATAAAATCGCTCATCACATTCTTAACTTAAAACACAAGAAACCTGAAGATAACTCAGTTCTTACGAAATATCTCTCTCAGTATATGATTCTCTTGCGACCCACGAAACCTTAACATCTAATGCAGTAGCTTATTAAAGTCTTACCTTGCAACACAATAACCCTCAAGATGGCTCACTAATCTAAGAGAAAGATTTGAACATGAATACAAAATGTTATCTCCCTTGCCTGTTTTTTCCTGTAATTCTTCATCGGTTGCTTCACACGGCTGAGGCGGCTCGTCCTTTGCTAGAGGCGGTCGAAGCCGTAACATTGTCCGGACGCTCGAGGCTGCGTTTTTCTTGAAAACAGTTTCATCATCGATGTCTGGATCTTCACTTCTCAACGCGGAATCTGAGTTCCTTATCTTGACGTGACTTGGCGATGAGTTCTTCTCCTTCGTCTTCTCAAAATCGAACAATCTCGATCTGTAGCTTTCTGGTTCTTGCTCAACCGCTCTCACCATTTCCATAATTTTCTTGAATCTAAGGAGAGGTTCTTTGTTTTTGAATCTCTCTGTTTTTTCCTCTTGAAACAAAGACGAGCTTTTAGGCGGGAGAGACATTAAGAGATAAAAGAACAGAAAGAGTGCTTAAATGTTGTTGTTAGATAAAAAACAAACTCTTAAAACTAATGAAGCCACCAGAATAGCTCTTTGAATTTTGAGATTGACTTCTGTTTTATGCTTTCTTTTCTCTTTTTGTCTCGTTATATTGCTAACTAACTAACCGATTAGTTGGTCAAAAAAATTCCCTCGACTAATTTCTCAGTTACAGGTTTTTTTTTTTTTTTTTTTTTTTTTTTTTTTTTTTTTTTTTTTACAGCAATTTGTCATTTACAGTTACATAAACAAATTTAGGATGTAGGTCGCTGTAATTCACATTTAGAAATAGCATAGAATTTTTTAACCATTTTTACTCTTTTTTTACTTTACTATTTATAAATAAATTGTAAACACACACGTAAATATTTATGCACTTTCCGCATCTAAGTATCAATAAGATTGTTGTTTACATTATAGCTTATATGATGTTGTATTTAGTACTATCCAATTCAATTTTCATACTTTCTAATTTAAATTAGTTTAATCTGCTATGTGTTTCTCTTAATTAATCCCTAAAAGCCATATTATACAGATACGTGATCTCACAGTTTTATTGGAAACAAGAACTATACTTACAAACAAACAAAACGTAACTGCTTTGAGTTTAAAAAGAAAAAAGAAAAAAGATGGGATGTGGTATAGAAACTAAAGAGCAGCGCCTTTGAAGATGAGGAAGTTGAGGGTCCCCAAATGAAAATAGATGAAAGTTCCTTTAGAATGTGTGAAGAAACACCCAAAATTTGATCCCACCACACATTGCCAACCACTCCCATATCTCTCATCAAACTCCTGATTTTGAATAAGTTCAAATCAAAATTAGCAGAGAAAGAAACAAAAAAATCTGGAATTATATATCTTCCTCAGAGAATTATAAGAGAAATAAAGAAGAAGAAGATGCTAACCTTCTTGATGTGAGCAGCGATGGATTGACAATCAAAGACATCAAAAAGATCGAGAGTTTTAGAAGCAATGCTCATTGCTTGCATCTGCATCTTCACTGGCATGTCTGTCTCTTCCACCTTCGCTTTCCCTTCCAACATATCTTTTATATCAACCTTCTCTCTAACTTAACTCTCAAAGCTTTTATGATCAAAACAAAAACAGATCAGTCGAATGGATTCCTTTCAGATATATAACATGTTGATGATAATACTGTATATAACTCTCAAAGGAGAATAATAATGAATCGTGTGTCACCTTTTTTTGGACAGGTTTTAGGCTTTTAGGTTAAAGGAACTGTGTTACCTTACGGCTTACGGGTTTGTTTTTATTTTGTAACTTTTAAGTGATAATATTAGCAGTCGTGAGCATCATAAATGGACCGGTTTTGTCCTCTTCTGAACTTTTATCATATTATTGATAATCATGACTCATGAGAAAAAATACATGCAGTAAGAAATTAGGGTGTGATGAGTCATCAGAGATGTAATAAAGATCTATCTGACGTGTGTCCACGTCGTTTTCAGTTCTCGATCGATAGGATAACGATGGAGAGACTCATCTCATCTCTGGACTATGAATTCCGATCTGTGATTGATTTAGCTTCGAAATTATGTATTCCCTCGATGTTTGCAGCTAAATGGGCTTACAAAATCTGAGGCCCAGAGTGTACGTTACTACATGCTCTTTGTTCAAAAAAGGAAATCTTAACAATAACAAAACATACAAAAGGAAATATATTCAAATCTCAAAATTCAACCTCACGTTTCTTTCTATTATTTGTCAGCTATATAGTTTTCCAGAGTTTTTCTCAAATTTTTGATACAACACTAAGGTCCATTTATAAGATGCTTTCCACGAAATCGGAATCGAACATTACAAGTCTTGTGGCTTCTTCTTCATCGCCTACACGATCTTCAAAACGCGACTTCTACTACACGCAGAGCCCGTCACGTGACTCATCCAGGGCGTCATTTATACAGCCGAGCCCGATGGACTCACCCACACACGATTCTTCTTCCTCTCTAGGCCGTCACTCTCGAAACTCATCGGCAAGTAAGTGCAGCTCCGACGAGAAAGACTGGCGCCACGAACGTAAGATTTTACTCGAAGAAGGTACGTACTACGATGAAATTGACGACGTGGCGTCTATAAGAAGGTGTCAAGCACTACTTGCCGTTTTCTCTGTCGTGGTTATTTTCATCATCTTCTGCTTTATCGTTCGGGGAGCTTGTTTACCTTACAAGGCTCAAATCTCTGTACAGGTAAATAATTGTTTTAAATTTCTAAAAAGCTTATACTTTTTTTTGGTAAATATCTTGGGTATTAATTGATGAAAGTGATGCAGACATTCGAACTACACAACTTTTACGTTGGTCAAGGAACAGATTTCTCTGGAGTACCAACCAAAGTGCTGACATCGAATGGAACATTAAGATTTCGTATTTACAATCCTGCCCCAACATTTGGTGTTCATGTTACTTTCACCCCAATCAATCTCTTCTTCTATCAACTCCCTATCGCTACCGGTCAGGTAATTTATCTTGACTTCATACTTAGAGAACGTGTTACATTGTGTTAAATCCTAATCACACCAATAATTATGGAATCTTGTTTTAGCAGCTGAAAAACCATTATCAATCGAAGAAGAGCCGAAAGATAATGGTAGAAAAGTCATGTTATATGGTGCCGGAGCAAGCCTAGAGGCGACGGATAGTGGCGGAAAGATTCCGGTGGAGCTTTGATTTGAAGTCCAAACAAGGGGAGATGTGGTCGGAAAATTGGTTAGAGTTTGGCACACAAAGCGAATCTCATGCAAATTTGACATCGATGTTGCTATTACTAAGCCCATACCGCTCAAGGATGGTTCTTGCAGCTATTCATGATTCTTACTATATCTATTGATTTCATGCGAGTGATGATTTAATTATTTGTTTTGATTACTCAATGCATATAAGTAACTGCGGAGTAGATATTAAAATTTTCTTAATGATTATTAAAAGTTAAATAAAAACCAAAACCAAAACCAAACAGAAATTCGGATTCTAACATCCAATTTCTGATTACACAATGCAAAACGAAAAGAAAGAGAAAAACAAAATTCAAACAATTCTTAGAACGTGAAAGAGAGATGAGAGATGCCACCAGAATCTTCAACCCAAGGAACATAGAAACTGAGTTTACCAGTTTCTTCTTCCCACTCAAATTCAGCTTCCTTGTCGTTCAAGTTACAAATCTTTGGAGCAGAGCTCGAATACGCCATGAATCTTCCTTGGCCTTTCAAGGAAACCCTAATGCTGTTATCACCAGTTACCTCCATCTCTTGAACTGTTCCAACACAGTTGAACATGTTGATCAACCCTAGAGGTGCAAACCTAATCCCTGAACTTCCTAGTTCCGTGACTGGCACGAAACTGAACAGATCAAACGAAGACGGCTCTAGGATTATCTCGACAGCGTCTGATTTCGAGTTCATGAAAAGGATTTCCTCGGACTGCTTCTTGTAGACCACGTAATCTCCAGCGTAGCTCACCTGAGAGCCTGCAGCTTCTGGGTTTTGATCCCACTCGATGTCCGAGACATGGACTGTTCCTGAAACTGTCTTGTAACAATCTTTGAATCCCTTGAACCTATGCTCCTTTGGGCACCACCCAGCTCCTTGACAGTTAAATACTCCAATCACTCCTCCAAACTGCAGCAAATCATCATCCGTCACTTTCATAACGTCCCCATCTTTAAACATTTGTGATTTTTTGTTTTAAACTGCTTACCTTATTGAAGTTGAAGATCTTGAGGATTGATTCTTTGTCAAACAAAGGGTTCTTGAAGAGACAATCTCTAGTGGGAAGAGCATAGTGGAGACACCTCGGAACGGTGCCATCGAAGAAAGCAAGTTTCTTGATGAGATCAAAGTTATGCGAGCCTTCACCAAGATGGTCACTGAGGTAGACAGGCCCACCAGAGATGGCTCGAGACGCGGCGTGGAACTCGGCACAGACGTGATCTGACTGGAACATGTCCCAATCTGGTTGAATCATCTGACCCATCCAAAAACTGTTGTAAGAACAATGAATCATGTGTAGTCCTTGTAGCCAATACACTCCTTGTGGGTCGCCATGTGGGTCTTGCCACCAAAAGTCATCACCTAATCAAATTGACAATACTTTTTATTATGCTAATAGATGTAAACAAAAGAGGCAAAAGCAATTTATATGTTATTACCAACTCTGCCAATAGAGATTTGCTTTGTGGCAAGGAAGAAGAACTCATTGCACTGTTGCATACTAGCAATGATTTCAGTTCCATTGAAATTCTTAACCATGGATTTGGTCAAGCCATCGTAGTAAGTTTTAGCAAGCTCTACTCTTCCTCCATGTTCTTCTGCTACTGACTCTAACGTCTGAAACCACACACACAAAAAGCAAATCGTAAATCAACAGATAGAAACAGAGAATGTAAGAAACATAGTGAAGAGTAATGTAACAACTTACTTGAAAAACATCAATCTTGGCTCCTGTGACTCCAACGCTAGCAAGATAAGAGTGCATTGAATCGTAGAATTCATGAGCTTTGGAAGGGTGAACAAGACCAATCCCGGCTTCCACAATCCTATCGACGGCGAGATCAGTCATTGAAGCATCTAGACCAGGTGAAATCTCAAAAGGAACAACCTTGGATTTCAAATGCGTTAAGCATTCAGGCCTAACACCATTCCAAGCACCACACAGAGCATGCCACACATATATACCATCTAAATTCTTAAACCTTGACCTCAAATCCCTTGTGAAAGCTTCCATACCTGAGCCTGAAGCATCCTCAGAACCCAAAGACTCCTGTTTCCCATCCTCATCAAACATCGCATTGAGCTCTTCGCTAAACTTTTTGATCTTTTCATCGAGTTCGGGTAGATCTTGTTCCCCAAACTCACGAACCAGCTTCTGTTTCTCTATAATGGCTTGAATCCGTTCGGTGGCTTTGTATATGATCCTCTTCGGTTTGTGAGGGTCGAAGTGAGATGCGTCGGATGCTAAAAAGGATCCACCTTTATAGTTTCTAAACTTCTTACATTCCTTGAAGCTGTGAAGCCTCGCAGTCATCTGCTCTCCGCCAAGAACAAGATTCTCTGCGTCTTTGCCTGGCTCCTCACCATCAAAGCTTATACTTTGCCATCCATCATCGATGATGATGAACTTGGGACACACGCCTCCATCTTCAAACTCCTTAACACCGGTCCAGATCGTTGCAGGGTCAACAGTGAGGTAGCAAGCATCCCAAGTGCACCATCCAAACTTGTCGACAATTTTCGGAAGCTTCTTCTCTTCTAGAAGCTTGAACGTGTTCATGTGGACACGAAGGACGCTAAAGGATTCTCTCATGAGGTTATAAGGATTGTCACAAATGTGAATGTAGGCAATGGAGTTGAAAGATGACTCTTTTACTTGAGTAGAGCCACTCTCTGCAGAGATCAAGACGCTACCTTTTTCACCAGGGTTAAGTGCAGCCCTGAAAGATCCTTCAATGATTGGTATGATGGCCACATAGGAATCGATCTCAGGTATCTTCAGCATCACCCATTGAGTCTCGGCTTGAAGATCCGACCCGGATTTCCCGACCCAAGCCGTTGACCACCACATTTTGAAACGGAAAACGCTGAGGAACTCTCTGTTTTCGAACCTCCCCAAGGAGTTTGTGAGAAGATCGGAAGGTGAATCTTTGGTGAATCCGAGAAACCCTCCTTTGTGGGCGTTGGCTTGAACACGGAGAAGAACCGGGAGAGGAGCATCACTGGATATGGAGTGAGATGAAAATGGTGTGAAGGTTAGGTTTTGAGGAACATCAAAGAGGATTGGAGAAGATTCTTTGGCACGGAGAATCCCTTGGGAGAGATTAAAACAGTTTGGTTGCGATATGGGCTTAGTCGGTGAAACACCAAGAGGTTTGGATTCGATGACATCGATGACTGATGCCAGAGAATCGTTAAGTGGAGCCATGAGAAAACTGAAGAATCTGAAAAACGGAGAAACGAAGAAACAGAGCAATTAAGAAAACAGAGGATGCTTGGAGATGAAAATGCAATCTTCTTCTGCTCTATATATATATACACACAAAGAAAATGGCTAAGATAGCATAAGATACTACGAGTTCCCTTATCTATCTTTTTCTATATATCCATTTATCTAATCACATTTAATTAGTATCATCTAATTCTATCATATTTGTACTCGCACAAGGAAAACTGAATATTTTACGGAATTTATTGAAGGATTTTCTGTAATACGAACTTTATTGTAGTTAACTTTCCAGGACGAAAAGATGGAGTTGGGGTTATTCTTCCAAGATCCAGAAGCTTCTTAAGAAAAGGAAAGCAAAGGAACATCTCCTTCTTCTTTTCATCAATTAGAGGTTATTATAAAAAACAATTTGTCATAGTCACACGTCTTTTCTGCATGTATGCTACTTGGCAAATTCTAATGTTATAAATAGACAATACTCACGGTTTCCATATAAAATCATAATAATATTGTTAAAATAAAGAAATGATACAAATCAAGTAATCTTTTATATTACCTTATGTGTAAAGTATGTAACCGAAAATTGTGGATATTTTAGATCTAGAATAATCCGCAAGAAAATAAAATATATCTTTGTGGATATATGATTGTTATTTGTTTCCATTTTGGAAATTTCGCTCAATCCAGATGAGGTATTTCATTAGTGGTTAGGTTATGGTCTTAGTTTCCAAGATTGATGACTACGAAAATCTTGCTCAGCCTCTCTAGAAGATATTGCAAGAAAGGTAAGTTTAAATCGAAGGTAATTTACTAATTTTCAATAAATGGTCCGATCTCTCTCATAAAGGCCATATGGATTTAGTAAACCTTCGCTTATAGTATTTTATGTTTATGCTAATGCTAATACCGTGCAGCTTATGTATATACAGATCCCTCTCATGCTAAAGATGTTGTTTGTTGAAACCAGAAGAAGATTTGTAATGGAGCTTTTAGAGAGAAACCATTTATGTAAAGTTATAACCAGAAGAAATATAGTGGAACTGAGAAAATTTGATTTACATTACTGTTAACATGTTGCAAATGAAGGTGTACATACCACACATAATGAAGAGTTTACGTAATGAAACCCAATTCGTTTTTAATGATGTAAATGATGAGATGAAAAATACAATTGCAGAAAGAAACAAAGGTGCTTATACTAACTAATACACAAGAAAATGCCAAAGAACACAAAAAAAAGCTCTCTCTTTTTTAAAACAGATGTTGTTCTTTCCAACAAAGCTGGTCAGCATTCTCACCCGGTTGATCTTTGTTGCCGTGCCCCGGCTACATCAATGGTGTCAGGAAGGTACCTGAAAGAGACGAACAAATCGAGATAAGTATCAAGTTGAGAGCTGAGATGGTGTTTGCACTAGTGTTGGGAGACTTACACTTCTTCTTCAGGTTCGTTCTTGAGAGCATTTTTGGCTATGCATTCGAAAGCTGCATCGACATTGAAACCTTCTTTGGCCGATGTCTCAAAGTAAGGAATGTTTCCTTTGGATGCACACCATGACTTTGCTTTCTTCTCAGAGACCTGTTTTTACAGAACAGAAGATAAGGTTTCTCTTTATTCATACTAGAGAGTTGAGAGAGAAAACGAATAAAACATCTCTCACCACTCGACTCTTTCCACCATCAACATCTGTCTTGTTCCCCAACACAACAAAAGGGAAGCTTTCAGGATCCGAAGGACTCGCCTAAACACACAGTCGATAAAGATGAGATCAAATCACTGTTTTGATGATAAAAACATGTCAGTGTAAGTGGCACGGTACCTGGATCAAGAACTCTTCCCTCCAGTTGTTAAGACTTTCGAAGGATTTCAAGACGTTGACATCGTTCACAAGAACACAACAGTCAGCTCCTCTGTAGAAAGCAACACCCAAACTTTGGAACCTCTCTTGCCCAGCTGTATCCCAAATCTACATTTGCAAAAAACATATCTAACTTCATTCCTGTTTAGTGTTTATGTACATTGTAACCATGAACAAACACTAGTCTTTCCTTCATTATTACACTCAAGTAATTCTTATTATTACCTGCAAAGTGAACAACCTGTCATCGATTTGAACCTCTTTTGTCAAGAAATCCGCACCAATCGTAGCTTTGTACTGATTACTAAACTTGCGATTCACAAACCTAACCAAAGTAGTGATTTAACAGATTTCTCCACTTTAATAATTAGAAAAAAGAAGCGAATCATACAAAAGACAGACATGCAAGCAGAATCTCAGATCCGAGTATAGAATACACATACTGATTCATCAAAGACGTTTTCCCAACCCTGACGCAACAAAACCAATAATCAAATATTAAAATCCAGAGAAAGAGAGAGAGAGAAGATACTCGTAGTAACAAATGGCAAAAAAAAAAGCCAAATACAAAAACTTTAGAACGACTTCGAACATGGAAAAGCGAAAGTTCTTCTTAGTCGGAAAATTTACCCACTGTCTCCGAGAATAATGACCTTCAGAAGTACTCGCCGGCAAGAAGCCATTGATTCTTTTAGAGAAAGCAACTAATTTTTTTCTTTTCTAAACAAACCCAATAATAATCTGTCTGTGTTTTTTTTCTATTTCCTCGCTCTCTCTTGGTTCTTCTTCTAGGCCGATTCACGAAAGTGTACAACATTATTGGCTAGAAAGTTACGGATCCAACCAATAATAGCACTCCAACTTCTTACTATATTTTTTTTATCCGAAAACTGAAAAATGAAAAATGGAAAAGAAAAGAAAAACTGTATAGAAGAAATGTAAAGCTCACTATATATTTCGAGTGTTATGTGGATTGAATATAATTTTCTTTTGTGGACGATAGATACGAAAGAAATCGTAACATTCCTTCAAGATTAAAAATAGAGGAGAATCACATAAATTAACCCAAGAATTATAAACTAAGACAAAGAAGACAGTTTACGTTTCAGTCTCTAATTCTATGACAGTGAATAAAAAAACATGTACACTTCTTTTGTGTCTCTGAACAGAAACCACAAAGCTTTTCTCCTTTCTCTATCCACTCTGTCTGAGTTTTGCTTCTTCTTTTCGTTTCTTCTCTTCTCTGTGTCTTCACTCTGCTTCATCTACAGACGCATTCGCAACCGTCTTCCCTTTGTTATCTGCTTCGCCTGTTCTTGTTGACTCGGTGGATTCCAGTTTCCTCTTCTCCAGAAATTGAACTCGCTTTCGAAAAACCTACAACAAAATTAGGATTAACAAAACACACCATCCATACTTATAAGCTATTGATTCTGGAGTTTTCACATTACTCAGAGACCATACCTCGAGATGGGTTTCCAGAGATTTTATCATATACTCCAGCTTAGCCTCTGGGATATTTGCAGAGGCATCACCAGGAAGCTGAGATGCGGCAGAGGATGAAGGATGGGTTCGGTTTGGTTCAGTTGACACTTGCTCTTTACCAGGCGACCTTAACATTAACGGACCAAACATATTCGTCAGTCATTGAAGGGAGTTAGTAAAACATAGCAAAACATGAATTCCAAAGTACAGAGATCACATTGTGCAAGATCACGAGGGACTGAAACTAATCAGACGATATGGAAAGTGAGACTAGAAAAGCTGAAACTAAAACTCTAGATGTAGATATATCCCCATTGATCTTTTCAATCTTGAAGCTTCCTAGTGAAACCTTATTTGAATCTCTTGCTAACTGGACCATGCGGTGAGAATCCTATGAAAACTACAGCTTCTTTTGGTATGAAGTTTATGCTTCAAGAAACTAAAATCATCTTATAAGTTCTACTACTCGAAACCGAGCATTGAGAGTGACCAGATTCATAATACATACCATGCTACTCTGTTTGCAGACGGATAGACCATTGATTTCCCGTACATGGAGGCTGCAGAAGCAGCTGCTTGAAGCCTCGCGTGGTGCCTGCTCAGATTATCACTAGAACCGACAGCAGAAGACTGTGTCCCAGACCCCTGGGCACCTGAGCTTGAAGTACCTGCTTCAATTTGCACAGAGCTAACTTAGTGAATGTTTCCTGTCACAGTTTTTAAGAATCTCACAACTCGCAACATATAGTGTACCTTGTTGAGAACCTTGGCGTAATCCGCCTTGGCCTGCAGCTGCAGATGCGGCATTGTCAGGAGGTACAACAAGAGCTCTGCAAGTAGGACACGTCTGCTGTCGCTCCAACCATGATCGAAGACAATGCACATGAAAGAGATGCCCGCAGATTAGCTTCTTCGCATTTGTCATTTCTTCACGGCATATGATACATGTGGCATCACTCCTGCATATTAGAAAGAGATGAAGGACCAATGATATTAGATCTTCCAAAATACTTAACACCAAAATCAGAAATCTGCCAACTTTTTAAGTGGAAACATAAAACTGGGATATATGAAACTTACGCGGTAAGTTCTTCAGGAGTTGCATCAGGAAACCTGTCGTTCATGTTGGAAGTGATTTTACGATAACGAAGGTAATCGGAAACACGAATCTGGAAGTTCCTGAAGGTTTCGTAGAGCTCCCGCAACAAGTGCAAAGGCACGCCATAGTTCCTAAGCAGAGCAAAATAAGACTAATAAGATAAGAGCTTCTTATGCAACTTCAAAGCATCTTTTTTTTTCCAGATGTTTCATTAAATTCCCGAAATAACATAATTCGAAAGCAATCTAATTGGAATGGAGAAACTTACATGAATATGACAAAGAAGAAGCAGATATACATGGACAAGTGAAGCAGGTCACGGATAAGCTCCAGGTAGAAAGTATAAACAGGCTTCTTCTCCCATTGACCATCCATGATCATATCAGTGACATAGAAAACATACTTGACAAAGATCGCAACAGTTGTTGTCGCCAGGATCATATACCTGCAATGCAAGAGAAACTTATCTCAGAGAGGGAACACACTCAACACTAGCAAAGGTCTTCTTCTTCGACGTCAAAACAGCAAAAAGCAACTTACTCGAAGGAGAAGAAGAGAGAGACCGAAGCCTGACGCGACTGGATCAAGTGGCGTACAGAACTGTACATAAAGAGACTATCCACAAGAAGAAGGAAGCCCATGAAAGAGACAATGCGAACATGAGAGAGCTTAGGCACAGAAGGCGTGGTCTCAATGTACTCAACTCTTTTCTGGGCAAGCCAGTGCAGGGCCTTGATCAAGAGAAGAGTGACGACCAGAGGAAGAAACCCGCTAGAGAAGTCCTGTCTAAAAATGGTGACGGCGAAGAGAATCTCCATGAGCTCTCTCCAGGCTTGCTCGTTGAGCCTCTCGACCTCTGCTTCCCTGAGGGAACCCAAGAAGACGAGTTTGACCAAGTGCCAGAGACTGAGCATGAGCACCAAACACATGTTGAGGAGAAGCACCAAGCTGATCTTTGAGGTCGATAGATAAACCGTCGCTGGGTAAAACTGGCCTCTGCTGCTGAAAGCATGATAAATCACAGCCAATGTCGCTACAAAGCTAAGGCCTGCGTATGTCCTCAGTCGAATCATCGTCTTCGTCTGATTATATATTGTCTCCACAATATCAAATACAGATCTGTGAAAGAGAAAAAAAAAACTGTAAGAGCGAAATCAAATCAAAATCCAATCGAAAAGATCGAAATCCAATTGATCCGTTCACTAATTGAGAAGAAGAAAAAAAAAACGTAAAAACTCGATTTTTGGAGACAAACATAGAGGGAGAGAGCTATTCACCTGCGGCGAAATTGGGGAATCGATGTATGCAAGAGAGAGAGAGAGTCAAGGATAGAGAGACAGGAACAGATTGGGAAGTCAACGAATCAAATTGAGTGTCGCGAGAGACAGTGACGACGGAAAACACCAAATAAGCGGAGGAGGAAAGAGCCAACGTGGGCGAGGCGTGCGGGGTTTCTATGTTTCTCCGATTAAAGCATAGAGCGATTTTTGAGTTCTCCGCTAAGTTAATATAATTCCAATTATACCCTTGACTTTCTATGCTTATTACCCTCCTCGGGACATTTCTTCTGCATCATATTTATTGTTCGAGTCATCACATTCAACTTTCTCTTAAACATGTAACTTTCAATACGTTGGCCAACTAATTAATTAGTTTGCTATACTTTCAAGAATTCTATGATTAAGACAATAATTATAAATCAAGATCAGCACTTGTATGAATGCAGTTTTCGGAGAGAGGAAGCAAAAAGCAATAAGAGGCGTGAACGAGAATGCAAATGTAAGATGGTGATACTTCAACCAGGTTCAAAACTTTATAAGCGAATAAAGAAAAATGAAACAAAACCAACAAAACATAATTGTATCAGAGATCCTCAGGAACAGTAGCAGTAAAGTAATCTCGAACTAAGATAAACCAAAGAGCTTGCTTATAAAGCTTTACTCTCTCCCTTCCTTCTTGCGATTAGTCCAAATGGCTCTTTTAGGCTGATGAAGCTGCAGACTTGTTCCTTGGCTTCGCTTCAGTACCTACGAACACAAACAAATGATCGAACATAAACATCCCATTAAGAATCCCATTTTGATTGATAAGAAAAAGTCAAAATGCAAATCGAGAAGATACATTACCTTCTCTGAAACCAGTCTTGAACCGTCGGGGAACATTTCGGAGATATCTCATCCGACCAGTACCAGTAGTCTTTCTTCTGATGGCCTTCTCACTCCAGTTGTCTATACCATAAGAGCAACAGAGACAACTTCACATACACATTTCTTAAGATTTCAACGATTCGTACAATTTCTACAGATAAGCTTTTTCCGTTTAAGTAATCCATCCAAACGCAAAAGCATATATCATCAACACACTAAGCTAATCTTAGATTCAATCTAATCATCAATCTAGCGAAACAGAACAGATCGAAAGAAATGAAACACATAAGTGAGATTAAGAGAGAAATAAAAATCTTTTTGTCTTACAAGTCCTCTTGCGAGCGGCAGGGTAAGCACAAGCCGAGCAGCGACTCTTCTGGATGTGGAAGCTACGACGACCACATCTCACACAGAGAGTGTGACTCTTGTTCCTCCTCTTTCCGAAACTTCCCGTTCCCTTTGTCTGAAATTACTCAAAATGTTCCAATACAATAAAGGTCAGTGATAGTTTCGATGGTAAAATCGACGAGAAAGAATGGAGAGACAGAGAGATGGAGGGAGGAGAGAAAATCACCATTGGGGCGGATTGTGTGCGAGAAAACCCTAGTTTTCGGCTTCAGGGAAGAAGATGCTCAACTTTTATGAGAGCCAATTTATATGAAGGTGGAGAAGTTTGGTTCTAGGGTTGAAGCTGTATAATGGGCCTTTACATTACATTAAATGGTTCTTATTATCCTCAATGGTTACAAATGGGCCTACTTGCATCGAAACTTCTCTTGCCCATTAAGAAGTTAAACTAGTTGCGCCAAAAATTCAAAATTCGGATTTATAATGTTTGGTGGGTAGGTCCAAAGACAGAATAAGAGCAGCTTTAGCTTTGCATCTTAATGAATGCTACTAAGTACTACTAACCATGCTTTAGACAACATTTCGTCAAAAAACAATAGTACTTCCAAGCAATGTTTAACAAATACATTATTGTCATTTAAATATCTTATACTGCAACCAATAAAGCAAATTGACAAATTTTTGGTTAAAATCGTCCATCCATGATCACAGTTCCTATAAAGAAGATAGATAACCAAATCAAATCTCAAGATCGCTTCAATCATCCGAAACACACCGGACTTTAAGGATGATACTTGTGTTGTGTTTAGAATTAGAGCAGCTGCCTTTACGACACAATCTTTGTGTGGTCGGAAAAAAATAGGTAGAAGATCCAGTTATTAAAATAAGCACATGAAATTGGTCCAATGGTGAAACTCATGATACATGATTCCTTGATACAGAAAGAGGTTCCTTGATTTTACGCAATGGTAATATCGGTATACTGCATATTACGTGATCCAGATTAAGTCAAAATTAACTTTAATTTAAGATCTTCGAATCATATAAAGACATCATAAACATAATAAAAAAAAAAAAGAGAAAGGTGACATTCCAAGACATGACAAATTTCCACTTTAGCCTTTTTTGATACTGAGTAATAGACACAAAAGATACATTCGGGATGGGGCAGATACTATGAAACTAAAGTTACTACAAAACACACATTAATAAAACATAAAATTTCAGTCACTGTCTGAAAAAATTGATTTATATACGTGAGAGAACATTGATCTTTCGACAAGAACATATCAGTTGCAGTGAAGAAAGATGTTTCCGAAAACAAACAGTTTCTTTCACAGAACACTTCACAGTCTCAAGTCAATCATTCACCGAGCAGGTAAGAAACTTACTAGACCAAAAACTTACTTCTCCTGCACATTTTGCAGATCAAATTCTCTCGATGGCGACAATATCTACACAAGTTTCCTCAACATCTGGGAGTCTGATCTCGAAAACAGCATTGGAGGTCCGTTAAAGCTGGAGCAGAAGGCTCAAGAGCAAGGAAAAGATCATCAAGAGAAGAAAACAGAATCTTGCACGTCGCGTTCATCAAGAGACTGCGATACAATGGAGAAGAAGATAAAGGAGATGTATATGATTGAGACAGGAGATATAGAGCAAGCCCTTGACGTTGAAGAGGCACTTCATTACTATTCTCGTCTTAGAAGTCCTGAGTATCTTAACATCGTTGATAAGTTCTTCAATGATCTCTACGCCTGATCCAAAACGCTCTGCAGCTATTATATTTTTTTGTTTTTTCAGATTCTTGATTTGGTTGGTTTATTATACAAGTCTTTCTTCATGTATGCTTGAATCGTGCTTTATGTGTACCAGCACCATTCAACAGTGAATCGTTTCTCAGTTCCAAGAAAATTACTGTTTGAGCTTTCGATACTTTTGAGATCTAAAACCTCTGAACTTTTCAATTGGTCCATAGGGCACAGTATAAAGGTATAGAATAGAAGGCAAGCTCATTAATAGCACAAAAGTAATATTATTACATAGGTATTTCATCTTCTGCAACAAATCCAATACAAGAACCTTGATAGAATTCAAAGTGCGGCAGCACGAACAGAACGCATATCTTTTACGTATGAGAAACTCTGTAATCATCCCTGTAACGTTCTCAGTAGCCTGTAAATAGATATACTTCTGATCTCCAGTCCAAGCCAGTAAGTGGGGGCATAAGTGCAAAACCCGAGATGAGGTCGATAAAAGGAGGACCGGTATGTACTCGAGGAGGGGTCAGTACCCAGAGGTAGATACCAACACGTTGTGCTCCCTAAGGCGTTTTTGGAAATGAGCAAGACGGTTTTGCAGTTGCAGTATACCTGCAGCCTTCTGAGAGAGAATTGTGTTCAGTCTTGAGATGTAACCATCTAGCTGGTTTCCGGGTTGGTCTGCTTCAACCAGCAAATTCATCTCCTGCGCATGTGGTTTAAAAGGGGTTAGTAGCATTCGAAGATGGAACCGAAACCAGGCTTGGCAAAACTGAGTAAGTTCATACCTCTTTCACGATGTTCATGGTATCCTCAACTTGTTTACGGTGGGCATTCACAAGGTCTTCTTCTTCCTGAAAAAAAAACGCATGAGAAATGATTCTTCCGTCAAGGCTAACCAAGACAGATGACATTTTTCTCTCTCCCTCTCTGAAGGAGAACGTGTTAGCTGTATGTTACCTGCAGAAGTGCATTTAGATTGTCATCGGAGTTGGACTTCTTTATATCGGGCCTTGGCATGTCTCTTGACTTCATTGGAATCGTAGGTTTCGGGATTCTCTCCTGTGCCTGATTATTATAGGATGGCTCTAGCTTCCCGTTTTTCTTCCACATTTGCTTCTCTTGCTCGTAATCCGACGCATCAAAGTCATCGTTTTCTTCAGTCCACATCTCATTCACGTCATCGTCATAGTTAGATGGAGTTGGAAGTGTGGAGGACAAAGGAACTTTTGTGGACTCCCTTAGGTTTACGGTTGAAGAAGATACATCTTTCTTAGAGCCGTTTCCCTTTGAGAGACTCTTGACCCTACGATTCTCAAAGTTTTTAAGTTTATGGCATGCGCATATGACAAAACAAAACAAATAGATAAAACAGCTAGCGTGTAAATATTAACCTGTCCGCGTATCTTAAGGTATTAAGGGTGTGCTCACATGATCCAGAGCTTGGAGATATGCAAGATATCATTACGGTACGAGAATTGCCCATGAATGAGTCCCTGAGAACTTCAGTCAACTTACTGCCTCTAAATGGGATGTGACCTTGATCATTATCCAGAGCTCTAATACACTCCTTCAAGGCGAGTAAGCTCTTATTGATCTCTGCTCCTTCCAGTCTGTGTCGTATGTAATACCAGTAAATATCGAAGCAAATACCCAGAAACAATATTCACAACTGAACAATTTAAAGAGTAATCAGGGCCTGGAACAGAGATGGTGTTATGTGTTACCTTGTCTGCTTGTCATTGTCTGTCGTGTCTGCACCACGTTCACTTCCAGCAAGATCGATGAAAGAAAGTTTGCCAACAAGGCGAGGGGGCTTTGACTGATTTCCCTCTGCTGATTTTTTTATAGCGAGCTGAAGTATAGCATGTGAGCGAGAGGATTCTTCATTTGCACCAGTGGTTCCGGTACTTCTTGTTGCACTTCCTCTCTCGATAAGTTCCATAATCGCATCTGTATCAGATACTCTGTACTCTTGCAAACCAACGATGCACACTTGCTGCTTACCATCCTCTCTCATGCACAGCTTCCTATAAAGGTAAAAAGTTTGTCTTTCAGATACATAAAATTGGCATTGTAGTCAACATAACAGCCCGGGATGCTTCTCAACTTACTTCCTCTCGCTGAGAAGATCATAAAGCTTTCCTCCATAGATTTCAAAAAAGCTAACAAACAACTGAAACCCTTGGTTTCTGTATGTGTGGTGCATCAACCTCAGGATATCCCTGGAAGCCTTAAGAGGCAAAGGCTTCATAGTATAGGTTTTACCACTACCTGAGAGGCAAACATAAACCAGAGATTTTTCACATTGAGAATATACAATTCTAGAAAACGGGTAATTGTAGAGCAGAATATTATTTGTTTCTCAATGTGGATGTTGATTATCACCTATCAGACAATTTCATTTTCTCAAATAATTTGAAAAAGACTAATTACATACACGGTTTAGGAACGTGTAAAAAGACATGCCAAATATTTTAGAAGTTAGATTGTCAGATTTTCTGGAAAGTGACCTTGTGTATCAATAATCCATTTGGAAACTATTTACCTGTCTGCCCATATGCAAAGCAAGTGGCTTTGATGCGCTGAAAAATTAAGGGGACAACAGGCTCCACTGTCTCACGATAAACCTATAAAGAGTGGCATAATATCGTTAGAAATAAGGGTCGCAACAGTAACTGGTTATTTGTAAACTAAGGCTTCCTCCGCAGTAAACGTCGATTTACTTTCAAACAGCCTTTACCTCATCATTTGATACTTCCTCATCTAGCACAGCATCAAACACAAATTCATGCCTTTCAACATAGGCTGTTAAGTCAACCTGCAATTATTTAGTTATGGATCAGTCTTAGTGTCTTGCTACAGTAATGAGTCAGACAACTGCGATCGAATGAACCCAAACCATCAGAGACTGACCTTAAGTTTAGTTTCATGAACTGTTAAACTATTTGAATGCGTGTCAACAATGTCTTCCTCGTTTTTTGTCGACTCCTTTTTGTTAAGTGGTCTCTTACGCACCTGTTCTCAGACAATCAGGGAACAGCATGTTCAGGAAAGGACTAGTAGTACTCACAATGCAAAAAGCAGGGAAATCACTTAATTCAAAGGGTTAAATCAAGTGATTTGTTATAGGGATAGAAGTAAAGGAAGAAAACGTACAACAACTTTGATCTTTGCAACAGCGTTCATCCTTTCCTTCTCAGCTGCCAAGTTTTCAGCCAACACACGGCTACGGTTAGGCTGCTTGTTGTAAGCCTCAAAGTCATCAAAGCTCTGGCTTTGACTAGGATTGAACATTGAGGGGCCATCTAATTGGCTAGAGATTGGAATCTGCTGACAAGATAAGAAGTTAAAAGCCTACGACAAGAACATAACGGAAATTCACATGTATTTGTCTAATGTTTAACAGAGAATCAAATAACAAGATGGTGTTGTATGATTCTATCAGAGGTTTTTTGACTTACGTTTACCAGATTGGTTAAGAGTAAAATACCCATAAGTACGGTCACAGAAAAATCAAAACTTCTTTTACTAAAAATAGTCTGATGACCTAAAAGTGCAGTGTAATGAGTCCACTCTTCCAGCAAGCAATCAATTTTATGGATGACTCCACCCAAATGCACCAACATGTAAAGCCGAAAGGTAGGAAAAAACGAAAACTTGAATTGCACTTCTGCTCTGATACTAGCATATGTAAATGGTAAATAAATAAAAAAGGCTCTAAAAAAAGTTACAAAATCCAATTACTGGAAGTTTTTCCAGCATACCTACCTCAGGAAGAAGCTCAGTATCAAAAGAATGCAGATCTAAGAGCCCGGGACTGAACTCGGATTCATCAGTGTTCTTTCTTTGGTTCGATGGACGAGCACCGTATTGAGGAGTAGTGGGTTCCCCGAAGAAGTCGTTTCCTCCATTAAACCCTCTCTGAGCATTCTGGTATCCTCTTGTTGCTTGGCCGCCGCCTTGTCCACCACCAGCATAGTATCCGTAATCCTGTATGTAGTAGTCAACACCATCAGGTTAAGAAATCGGATTCACTAAACCTGGGATGAACACAAACAACTTTGCCTAGAGCTTCTCTGAGCAATCAAACACCAGATCGAGAAGATTAAGCCCCCAAGAATTTCAATCTATAAGATCCAGAAATCTCCTGGGCTAATAGATCTTTTCTAAGAAACCCGCAGAAATTTCGAAATTTTAAACATTTCACTCGAACTTCCTATCCAGATGAGAAAAATGTAAGATGGGGAAGGAAAAGGATCAGATTCTGGGATTACATTGGCGGGTGGCTGGAAGTGCTGGAGACCATTGGATTGGAGCCACCTGCCATTGGAGGAAGACATGTCGAGGAGGTTATCGGAGAGCTGCCTCTGGTGGTGCACCGCCGCTGCGCCAGATCTCTGTCTCCCGTTCATCGCCTACCTGAGTGTCGAAAATCCAATCTGAGTTACTCTCTAGCTCGAATCGGAGCTCCCAACGGATCCTTTAATCGGATCTCTCTTTGCTCTCTCTTTCTCTTTCTCTTTCTCCGTCTTCTTCTCTGCTATCTATCTAAACCCTTTCTCTCTCCACAAGTTCAAATTAAAGCGCAGAGTAGAATAGAGAGAGCATTGGTCGCTGTTTCTTTCTCTCTCTCTCTCAAACGCTCCCTTAAACTCGATTCCTAAATGTCGTTTCAATATATCTAAATGTAAATGAGATTTGTGGACCAATTCTAATGGTTGTATTAACATTATTCTATGCGATTCTGGATTACATTATATTCCTTTGTTACTAGTTTACTATATTACAGTTAATATTTAATAATCTACTTATTTGTTCTATGATTTTTGTCAACTTTATTATTTTCTGAAAAATACGTACGATTTATTCCAAATGGTTTTGATTCGTAAAATAATAAACTGACACTCCTTTTCAAAAAAAAAATTAAAAAAAATAAACTGACACTCTTTTAAAAAAAAACTCCGCCTAGATTACAACACTCCCCATTTTTGATTAGTAGTTAAATTGTCTTCTATCAGAATTTGAAAAATCAAATTCAAATACTTTTTAAATATTTTGTTCTTCCTTTCCATTCTACTTTACAATGCTTACATCTATACTGACGAGTGATGACGATGAAAATAGAAGTAAACAAGTAGCTAACCAAGTAATGAGATTCAAGTGTTAAATATATATATATATATATTAAAGAGTAATTCTTCTTGAAAAAAAAATCCTTAACAGAAATATGTTTTTATATAAGTTTTATTATTCCCTTTCTACCTTACGTTTAAAGTGATGACGATGTAGAAACATAGAAAATTCTAGATTTTGTTTCATCTTATTAAAAGACTGTACAAGCTTTATTAAAGAGTTAACCCAAAAAACAACTTTAGAACTTCGGCACTGGTGAAGCAGGGAGAGTAAGGTCGAAGGAACGAGTAAATTCACGTACTCGATTATAATTGATTGAACCTGTAAAAAAAATGTCGACCAACAAACAACACGTGAGTAGCACTAAAACGACGCCGTCTAGGTCGTGACAATTGTCTTTAAAACAGTACCCCACATGTGGTGGGCCACTAAGTAAGACAGTTGTTGTTGGATTGGTTTGGCGCTCCCTTTATTTCGTAATTTTCGTGCTTTCTTCTTTGACTCGTGTTTTCATCTCTAAAAAAAATATCATTTCAAAAAATATCTTTGGACAGACGTCGGAGAAGCGGGAATCACACAGGATGAAGCCACGTGTTTCATCTGTATCGAACGGCTCTAAATAAATAAAAGCATTACGAAATTACAAAGATTGAAGAAAAAGTCCTCAAACGCCTGCGTTTTATGGAGGCCCACTATGTTGTTTCTCTCTTCGCAAATACGACGTCGTTCTAAGAACACTCGACTCGATTGCTTCTTCTCCCTAATCGGGGACCTAATTTGGATTCTCAGAGACTTGCCTTATTTTGACATACTCAGAAGCTTCTGGACCAAACGACACTCTTCTTCTCCATTTTCTATATCTTCTCCTCAGTTTCAGCGGAGCTCTCTCGTTGTCAATCCCGTCTTTCAAATCAGATCTCATAACTAACTTCGTGTCACCGGTTACCATCTTACAATCCAACAATGGCGGATCAAGATCAGGGCGCCGTCACTGTCTACAGCGGAGCAGCTATAACCGACGCCGCTAAGAAAAACCATCCGTTCTCCGTCAAGGTTGGATTAGCTCAGGTGCTTCGCGGAGGCGTCATTGTCGAGGTCTCTTCTGTAAACCAGGCTAAGATCGCCCAATCCGCCGGTGCATGCTCTGTGATCGTCTCAGATCCAGTCCGATCCCCCGGTGGCGTCCGTCGGATGCCGGATCCGGTGCTCGTGAAAGAGGTGAAGCGAGCGGTGTCTGTCCCGGTGATGGCACGCGCTCGCGTCGGCCATTTCGTGGAGGCTCAGATCTTGGAATCTCTAGCCGTCAATTACATCGACGAGAGCGAGATCATCTCCGTCGGGGACGAAGACAATTTCATCAACAAACACAACTTCCGATCTCCGTTCATATGTGGCTGCCGTGATACAGGCGAGGCCCTGAGGAGAATCCGAGAAGGCGCGGCCATGATCAGGATCCAGGGAGATCTCACCGGGACAGGGAACATTGCAGAGACGGTGAGGAACGTTAGGTCGTTGATGGGCGATGTTAGGATCCTGAACAACATGGACGACGACGAGGTGTTCACGTTCGCCAAGAAGATATCAGCGCCGTACGATCTGGTGGCTCAGACGAAGCAGATGGGAAGGGTTCCGGTTGTGCAATTCGCGTCAGGCGGGATCACGACTCCGGCTGATGCGGCCCTGATGATGCAGCTAGGTTGCGACGGAGTTTTCGTCGGTTCAGAGGTTTTCGATGGTCCGATAGATCCGTTCAAGAAAGTAAGGGGCATTGTTCAAGCTGTTCAGCATTACAACGATCCTCATGTTTTGGCTGAGATGAGTTCTGGGCTTGTGAGTGCAATGGAAAACTTGAGCGTTCATGGTGACAGGATTCAAGATTTTGGCCAAGGAAGTGTTTGAGATTTGAGATGGAGGTTAAAGCTTGCAAACATTTTGGACTTGAACTCTGTTTCTCTCAAATTATCCATCTTTGTTGTGTGTTTTTTTGGGTTGCAAATAGGCTTTCTAACATCTGTTGTGCTTATGCAAATGGTCTTTTTGGTTTAATCGAAGCTTTGCAACTTGATGGTAATGGTTATAACGAAACATATATATATTCAAAGTTTTTTTTTCTGAAATAAGAATATTTTCCCAACAAGAAAGGAGATTTGAATACATGTGAGGAGATTATTTCTTGCCACTTTTCTTAAGCCCAGCGCCACCGAATGATCCCTTTTGTGATGCCTTGTTCCTGAGTTCTTTAAGTGCCTGTTTTCATCATCACCACTTCTTCTCAAGATTGTTCAATGAATCATTGCTAAGTTTTAGAAGATGAAAAGAAAACAAATCTTCTTACCTTCTCTTCATCCTTCTTTTTCTGCATCAACTCCATATCATGCTGCATTTCGGAACAGAGTAAGATGTTAAAAGTCATAATTGAAGAGACCTAAAGATTCGAATATATGATTTAGGAGCCGATGTTTATGATCAGGTGAAATTCGCAGGCAAAGGACATAAACAGACCAAAGGTTTCCAAGATAAAACGGTAATTACCGAATTGAAGAAAGATCATACCTCATCGTACTCCTTCTTACCAGACTTGGGCTGCTTCAAGGGCTTCAATTTCCCTCCTTGAAACACCAAATATAGAAACCGTTCAATCAAGAATCATATTATCAACAAGACATTTTCTCTGCACCTATATCGTTGCATCAGAATATCTTTCGTAGGAATATTATTAACAGAGCTGAGAGAAAGGAAGGAAATACCTTGCTTGGAAGACATGGCTGAATTTTAGGGTTAGGGTTAAGACCTGAAACTTGAGGAGGAAAAAAATGTGACTTCTTCCCTAATCCCCAAAACACAGCAAATATCTCTGTCTCTCCGAGTTTTAGATATTTGGTTCTTCTTCTTGTTCTGCGATGATCATATAAATAGCGGTATGTGAATCCCGCGTAATCACTCCGCACCACAAAAGCGCGTCCACGTGGGAAGTTAAATTTGTATTCGAATTCGTAATATGGAAAATGGCTTCTTCTTTTATTTTTCTAGATAAAATAAATAAAAATGGCCAAATATACAAAGACAACTATAAATTTGATCTCGAAAAAATATATTTTAGCTTACATATTTTAGTTGCTGTCAAAACAAAGTTTTGAAGACTTTTACTCCATCAATCGTTTCTTTTTTTCCAGTTCATCTCACCTTGCTTCCATCACCGTGATGGTAACGCTATTCTCTGTTACATTTTCCGGCTCCAGTGGCTCAACCTCCATCTCCGGCGAGCTTCTCCGGGGACCATCATAGAAAGCTGGTTCTTTAGGCAAAGAAAGAGCATTGTTTCCGTCACCATATATCATAGACACAACGTCTAACATACTTGGTCTATCCTCTGCATTTTCTTGTACACACAAGAGAGCAACTTGTACGCATCTCAACACTTGAGGGTTCTCAAGTGCGGAATCTCCTAGAGACGCATCTATCACCTCGCGAATTCGGTTCTCTTTAAACAGATTCCATGCCTGAAAACAGAGTTGTTAAGATACAAAGACCAAATAAGCACGTGAGATGCTAGCAAGTGAAACAAGAAGAAGAGGTTTAACTTTTACATGAACTATGAGGTTGAGAGGTCCTTCTGAGTCATGGTGGAAGCTATTGTTCTTCCTCCCACAAACGATTTCGAGCATTAGAACCCCGAAGCTGAACACGTCTGATTTAGCCGAGAATAACCCTTCTCTGAAGTACTCCGGAGACATATAGCCACTATACATAACAAGAGAAGATTTTCTATTAAAATCAAACCGGAGAATCTTCACGTTGATTAGGGTCACTCTTAAGAGAACTTACAACGTGCCAGCAACTCTTTTGGTGTTGGCTTTGGATTCTTGGGCTCCAAATATCCGAGCCATCCCAAAATCCGATATTTTGGGATTCATATCCTCGTCTAGCAAAATGTTGCTGGCTTTGATGTCTCTGTGTATTACTTTCAACCTAGAGTACTTGTGAAGGTACAAAAGCCCTTGGATTATCCCTTCCATGATCCTAAACCGCATCCTCCAATCTAGAACATTTTTCCTCAATGGATCTACACAAAAGATTTGGCGACAATTTTTTCAGATGTGGTTTCTTCTATAGAATTGTTGGCATTTTAAAGAACGCTCACTCACCAAAGAGGAAGTAATCGAGGCTCTTGTTGGGCATGTACTCGTAAATCAACATTTTCTCATCCTTCTCAATGCAGCATCCTAGCAACTGCACGAGATTTGTGTGTTGAAGCTTCGCAATAAGCATGGCCTCGTTCTTGAACTCCACTAGTCCTTGCCCTGATGCTATTGATAGTCTCTTGATAGCCACTTCTTCTCCATTTATTAACATACCCTTAAAGAAAGTAGCGGAACCATCAAAATCTGTTTAAGTTAATATCAGAACCTGAAGAATATGTCATACCTTATATACAGGACCAAAACCTCCCTCACCGAGCTTGTTAGCATCAGAGAAGTAATCAGTTGCCAAGGCTACACTTTCAAAGCTATAAATCTGAAGCTCATTATTATTCTTCCTTGAACTTCTCCTGTGCCGGCCTCTCCTATCAATTCCCAATTCACGCAGTAAAATTTCACGGTCTATTGTTGAACCGTCTTTCAGTGTTTGAAGCCTCCTTCGTATGAAAGCAATTACTATACAAAATAGCAATAGTCACAAACACAATTATCAATTTCGACAAGAAATTTTTTCATACATGCTTATACAAAAGTTAGTCAGCTGAGCCTTACTTTGTGGAATGACTTTTCTCCATAAATAGTTAAACATTCTGCGGAATATGACAGTTACTGGTTCAAACACAGAAAGAAAAGTGGTGAACTTGTTAGTAAGATGTAAGAACACGATTGATAAGAAAGTGTGAGAATAATTTCTGATACAAATGATTTACCTTTTACTTTAAATTTCCTTAGAACAAGATATATGATAAACCAAGTCACAGGTAATATTAGGAACAGTGATGCCACAACAACTAGCCAAGTTGCCGCCTTCTCATTCTTTTCGTCTACCACAGCTTCTATATTCCAGAAAACTTAGTGTCAAAACAGAAATGCTGCAGTCAAAACGTAAATAAAAGACAGATATCCAAAACTCCTCTCTACCTTTTACACGAATATATATAGTCCTGGGATTATGAGAAGACGATTTTTTGTTGGTAGGATCAGTATACCAGATCTCACAGCCCGTACCATCCACATTGGTCGAAGCATAGGCAAGACAAGAACAGTTTTGCAGACATATAGCATGGCAATCAGCTGAACTAAGCCTTCCACCAGTCTCATTAAGTAAAAATCCATTGCCTGGGAAAGCTGATACAGTCTCTTTGAAATAATCCATTGCCTGAGAAAGCTGAAACGTTCTCTTTGAAATAAGCTGATTGGGCAAACAATTCTGGAATGTCATATCCGGGGCTACGCAACCAGCCTGCAAACCATCCCCGATTTTTCGCTCATAACGATCATAATTACCCTGTTCGTAACGATCATAACGTTGTTCATCGAAAGTGAAAGGAGAACAACGGACATGCGCTCGCTCTCCATCAACTCTGTATATATGCAAAATGCCCTGTTGGTCTATCATTATCGTGGGAAATACTGTTTCAGAATAGTGGCGATCAACTGAAAACATAAAATAGTGTTCACTCTCGTTTGATACAAAAGAGAAGACGGGTTCGTAATTGTTAAATCCCTGCAAGGAAAACTGACCCTTAAACCAGAGCCCACTTGCCCAGTACATGTTCCCACGCCACAAGATGGTTAATAGGTTTGTAATATTAGCATCCATCCCAAAGACAAAAGATCCAGAAGCAGGTAAAGTATCACCTAGCCATGAAGTCAGCTCCCATCTCTTCCCGGTCTTGACGCTGTAACCGAGTTTCATCCCAGGAAGAAGAGTATCCGTCGGATAATCAAAACTTTGCCACAAAACGCGCCTCACCGATCCATCAGGATCCATCTCCTGCAGCTGAAGATTTCCGGAATCCAACAGCCTAAGGGTCGTGTTTCTTGAGGTTTCTGTAGAACTCAGGTCAAGCAAGCTTGATGCTCCTCTTAAAATCTTCAATCTGCCAAGAGAGTCAATTGTGAGGCTTCCATGGCGTCCCGGGATTGGACTGTTGCGGTTAGCAATCCAGACAGCTCTGTCCTGGATATCTTTAAGATACAAATTGTTGTACCAAATCCCAAGATACAAGTTGCTCGAGTTCTTGAAGTTGAAAAACTTGAGTTTGAAGATATTGAAGGCTGAAACGAGCTCCTGCCCATCTTTCAAGTACTCCCCCTGAAGCAGCGTATCTGTTTCACAACATGATTGTCCTAACAAGAGAAGTAAAGTAAAAAAAGTGAGAAAGGCTCCATGTGCCCACATAGTTTCCGGAACTTGAAACTTGCAAGAATGGACAATTTGGTAAAAGATATCTACAAAAAGTGGTTCTCAAGACGTAAAACTTCTGATATGCAATGTAAATTAATGATTCAGGTCAAGTCTAATTCAGAAGTCCAAGTCCACGCTGGTGGGAGCCAATTTTGAAGTCTTTTCCCCACTGAAATAATGGAGCTACAGATTTTAACATGACAAATTAATTAATAATTATACTGGTGATAAGTGATAACGACCAAGTCTGAGATTTGACTCTTCCAAGCTAAATTTACGGGAAAACCCAAGCAAATACCTGAGTAAGCAGCTGCCGCAACGAAACACACAGAGTGAAAACCGATCCTCTTGCTCGAGCAAAACCATTGAACTACAGCAACTTGTTTTGCAAAAATTTCCTTTTTTTTTCAACAGAGTAAAACAAAAAGGGTTCAAGATTGTATTCTCAAAAGCTTTCAACACTGTGACATTGATAATCAAATCAAATTCAGATGTGATCATTTGAAGGAAAGAGTAAACGAAAATTCATTATTTGCTAACACATGCTCTCTTGGATTTTCTGCAACTGTTTACATCCCAAATTAACTTCTATTTTCTCCCTTTTTTGTTTCTCATACCTGACTCATTATCAAGAAGTGAACCCATGAATCCGAGAGCTGATTCCTTCATAAACTTATTGTTTTTTTTTACATTTTATTCTACTAACCATGAATTTGGACACACATAAAGAAACAGGGATAGTCAAAGAAGTAAATTTCAAGTAATCAATGAGATTCACATACGATCAATTTTTTTCCAGCTCACCTTGCTTCCATCACCGTGATGGTAACTCTATTCTCTGTTACATTTTCCTGCTCCGCTGGCTCAACCTCCATCTCCGGGGAGCTTCCCCGTAGACCACCATAGAAAGCTGGCTCTTTAGGCAAAGAAAGAGCATTATTTCCGTCACCGTATATCATGGACACAACATCTAACATACTTGGTCTATCCTCTGCGTTTTCTTGTACACACAAGAGAGCAACTTGAACGCATCTCAACACTTGAGGGTTCTCATGTGCAGAATCTCCCAAAGATGGATCCATCATCTTGCGAATTTGGTTCTCTTTAAATAGATTCCACGCCTGAAAACAGAGTTTCAATGATCTAAAGACTAAATAAGCAGGCGAGATGCTACCAAATGAAAGAAGAGGAAGAGGTTGAGCTTTTACATGAACTATGAGAACGAGAGGTCCTTCTGAGTCACGGTGGAAGCTATTGTTCTTCCTTCCACAAATGATTTCGAGCATCAGAACCCCGAAGCTGAACACATCTGATTTAGCCGAGAATAGCCCTTCTTTGAAGTACTCCGGAGACATATAGCCACTATATATATATATATATATACATATCAACACAAGAAATTGTATCAAAACCTGATTAGGGAAACCTCTCGTTGATTGGGTCACTCTTAAGAGAACTTACAATGTTCCAGCAACTCTTTTGGTGTTGGCTTTGGATTCTTGGGCTCCAAATATCCGAGCCATCCCAAAGTCCGATATTTTGGGATTCATATCCTCGTCCAGCAAAATGTTGCTGGCTTTGATGTCCCTGTGTATTACTTTCAATCTCGAGTACTTGTGAAGGTACAAAAGCCCTTGGATTATCCCTTCCATGATCCTAAACCGCATCCTCCAATCTAGAACATTTTTCCTCAATGGATCTACACAAAAGATTTGGCGACATTTTCAGATGTGGTTTCTTCTATAGAATTGTTGGCATTTTAAAGAACGCTCACTCACCAAAGAGGAAGTAATCGAGGCTCTTGTTGGGCATGTACTCGTAAATCAACATTTTCTCATCTTTCTCAATGCAGCATCCTAGCAACTGCACAAGATTTGTGTGTTGGAGCTTCGCGATAAGCATGGCCTCGTTCTTGAACTCCACTAATCCTTGCCCTGATGCTATTGATAGTCTCTTGATAGCCACTTCTTCCCCACTTATTAACATACCCTTGAAGAAAGTAGCGGAACCATAAAAATCTGTTTCAAGTTAATATCAGAATCTTAAGAATTTGGCGTACCTTATACACAGGACCAAAACCTCCTTCACCGAGCTTGTTCTCATCAGAGAAGTAATCAGTTGCCAAGGCTACACTTTCAAAGCTATAGATATGAAGTTCATTATTATTCTTCCTTGAACTTCTCCTGTGCCGGTCTCTCCTATCAATTCCCAATTCACGCAGTAACAATTCACGGTCTATTGTTGAACCGTACTTCAGTGTTTGAAGCCTCCTCCTTATGACACCAATCACTATATGAACTGACAATAATGACAAACACAATTCTCAGTTTCGACAAGGAGAATTTTTTTTACATGCTTATATAAAAATTTATTCAGTTGAGCCTTACTTTGTGGAATGATTTTTCTCCAGAGAAAGTAAAACGCCGCCTTAATTGGTGGAATGATTTCACCCCGTAAAAAGTAAAACGCGGCCTTGCTTTGTTGAGTGATTTTCCCCCATAGGAAGTAGAATGTTCCGCGAAATACGTCAGTTACTGGATCAAACACAGAAAAAAAAAAGTGGTGACCTTGTTAGTAAGAACACCATTACGAAGAAAGTGTTTGAATGGTTCTAATACAAACTTTTACCTTTTAGTTTAAATTTCCTCAGAACAAGATAGGTGACGAGGCAAGTCACAAGTATGATTAGAAATACTGATGCCACAACAACTAGCCAAATTACTGCATTTCCCTTCTCTCGGTTTACCACAGAGTAAGAAGTTTCTTTTCTCGAATCTATTTCCACGCATTCCGTACTTTGTTCATGAATATATATAGTTCTGGGACTCGGAGAAGACGACCTGTTGTTGGTAGAATCAGTATTCCCGATCTGGCAGGGATCATTCCAGATCTCACAGCCCGTACCATCCACATTGGTCGAAGCATAGGCAAGACAAAAACAGTTTTGCAGACATATAGCTTGGCAATCAGCTGAACTGTGTCTTCCACCAGTCTCGTTAAGTACAGATCCATGGCCTGGGAAAGCTGATACTCTCTTTTTGAAATAGTTAGAACGATAGGGCGAACAATTCAGGAACCCATAAGGCATATCCGGGACTATGCAACCAGCCTGCAAACAATCCCTGGTTTTATTCCCATAACAATCGCTGGAATTTTCCCTGTACCAATCGCTGCGATTTCTCCCATACCAATCCATGAGAATAGCCTCTTCACTCAAAGTGAAAGGAGAACAACGGACACGCGCTTGCTCTCTATCAAGCCTGTTTATATGCAATACTCCTTGCTGGTCTATCGTTATGCTGGGAAACACTGTTTCAGAATAGTGGCCATCAACCGAAAACATAAAATAGTGTTCACTCTCGTTTGAAACAAAAGAGAAGACGGATTTGTAGTTGTTAAATGCCTCCAAGGAAAACTGACCCTTAAACCAGAGCCCACTTGCCCAATACATGTTCCCACGCCACAAGATGGTCAACAGGTTTGTAATATTAGCATCCATCCCAAAGACAAATGATCCAGAAGCAGGTAAAGTATCACCTAGCCATGAAGTCAGCTCCCATCTCATCCCGGTCTTGGCGCTGTAACCGAGTTTCATCCCAGGAAGAAGAGTATCCGTCGGATAATCAAAACTTTGCCACAAAACCCGCCTCATCGATCCATCAGAATCCATCTCCTGCAGCTGAAGATTTCCGGAATCCAACAGCTTAAGGGTCGTGTTTCTTGAGGTTTCTGTAGAACTCAGGTCAAGCAGGCTTGATGCTCCTCTTAAAATCTTCAATCTGCCAAGAGAGTCAACTGTGAGGCTTCCAGGGCGTCCCGGAATTGGATTGTTGCGGTTAGCAATCCAGACAGCTCTGTCCTGGATGTCATTGAGATACAAACTGTTATACCAAATCCCAAGATACAAGTTGCTCGTGTTCTTGAAGTTGAAAAACTTGAGTTTGAAGATATTGAAAGCTGAAACGAGCTCTTGCCCATCTTTTAAGTACTGCCCCTGAAGCAGCGTATCTGTTTCACAGCATGATTGTCCTAACAAGAGAGATAATGTAAAAAGAGTAAGGAAGATGCCATGTGCCCACATAGTTTCCGGAACTTGAAACTTGCAAGAATGAACAATTTGGGAATAGATATCTAAACAGTGGTTCTCAAGACGTAGAAACTTCTTATATGCAATGTAATATCAATGATTCAGGTCAAACCTAAATCATAAGTCCAAGTCCATGTTAGCGGGAGCCAAAATTGAATCTTTGCATTGAAATAATGGAGCTGCAGACGTTAGCATGATGACGGTGATAATGGATAACGACCAATTTCAGGTTGACTCTTTCATGCTAAATTTACCGGAAAAAAAAACCAAACAATGAAACAAATACCTGAGTAGTACTAAGCTGCTGCCACATTGACACAGACAGAGTGCATACCGATCCTCTTGCTCGAGCAAAACCATTGAACTGCCGCAACTTGTGTTTGCAAAAAGTTCCTTTTTTTTCACCGAGTCGAGAGTTGAAGATTGTATTCTCAATAGCTTTCTGCGCATGCGTAACAATATAACAGTGATCATCAAAATTCAGAAAGTAAAGAGTATCCGAAAAATCGTTCACGCATTTTGTCGAACACCTTCATGTCAACTATGAGAATACAACAGAAACGAAGGATTTATAAAGAACTTCTAGCCTGAGAAGTAGAACAACCCAATGGGCCGGTCAAGTCAAAAGGAAAAATATGCTTTTAACTATATTGCTTTAGTTTAAAAGAAAAAACTTTATGCCGAAATTTGAAAATTTTCGAACAATGTTTACAAGACGAACTACATCATTCCGGGGGAAAAATATGCTTATGAGAAGAGAACTTCACGAGTTCTACAACATTTTGCATCACACCCCGTGTAAAACTGTAAACAAGGTTTTTATTAACATGATGATCACTGTTACAGCGCAGAGAGCTAAAAACTGTAAAAACTTCTTTCTCTCACCGACAAACTACAGACGGACGATCATCATCTTTTGTCATCATCATTTCTCGACAGATTTTATTTGATGGGCCGGGTTGAATCGGGTTAGAATTTTTTTCTTTGTAGATGGGCCGGGTTGAATCGGGTTAGAATTGTTTTCTTTGTAGATGGGCCGGGTTGCATGTAATTGCAACCACTACACCTAAACGTCCTTCTTTGTCAAAATTGAACAAAATTCTTATTATTATTTATTTTATTTTTGAAAATATTCTACAGCCAATTTTAACATTCTTGTGTATAACGGGTGGGGGATTATATATATAATGAATCTTGGGCTATTAGTTTTTTTATTTTACAAGATCTTAAAATCTTCCGACTATAAAAAAATAGTATGCAATAACATGTACTACAAACGAGAAGATATAATAATCTACTAAAGAACAAGGAGCTAGCTAATAAGTAATATCCATGGCGACATCTCATATCCAGCCTTTGCTTCTTCAGTGAACAAGGAGCTAGCTAATATCCATTGAACAAAATTATTATTATTATTTATTTATTTTTGAAAATATTCTACAGCCATATTTTAACATTCTCGCGTATAACGTGGTGTGGGGGGGGGGGGGGGGGGGGGGGGGGGGGGGGGGGAATTATATAATGAATCTCGAGGGATATTAGTTTTATTTATTTATCAAGATCTTGAAATGAAATCTTCCGACTATAAAATAGTATGCAATAACATGTACTACAAACCAGAAGATATAATAATCTACTGAAGAACAAGGAGCTAGCTAATATCCATGGCGATATCTCATATCCAGCCTTTGCTTCTTCTTCTTCTTCTTGTGTCACTCTTTGTCTTGCCTGCTTTGAGCGTCAGCTTCAGTAACTGCAATAGTAAGTATAGATTTGTTAGTGTTATTAGTTTTTTCCTTTTCCTTTTTTCTTTGTTGTAAGTATATGTTTGTTTTCTTCTTTTGTGTTGAAATTAAAGACAATTATACTTTGATTTGTGGAAGTTTAAGGAAGAAATAATCATAGTAAGGTGTTCATATCATTTTTTTTTTTTTTGTATAGGTCCTAATGAGTATCCCGTTAACGTCACGACTGTAAAGATCTCTCCGTACCCGGTTAAGCGTAGTACTAATGGAAACATTACGATAACCGGTTATACAAGTAAGTATTGATTTTTCTTTTTTTTTCAAGTTAAACTTTTCCAATATAGATATTGTTTTCTTGGTGTGAACAGGCAAATACATCCCTGATGGAGTAACTGTAAATCTCGAACTGTACACGTTTGTTCTGATCTCTAAGAAAACATACTCACTCTGTGATGTAACGGCATGCCCTGTTGCAACTGGCCCCTTTGTGATTACTTTACCTAACGTTTTCACTCCGAAGGAATTAAAATCAGTAAGTTTTTGCGTTACGTTATTGACAATAGTTTGAGAATCGCTGCATCATATCAAACCTTGATTTGGCTGGTTTTTTTTTTCTGATGATCTAACGAAACCGCTTTGTTTTTTTTTTTTTGTGTGGGGGGAAATACCTTAGGCAGGGTATGGTGTTACAGTAATCATCAATGAGGAGAATGTGAGAGACCCAATGATGTGCATCGTGTTTGCTTGTAAGATCAAAGGAGGTTATGCGTCTCTGCTTCGTCAAGTTACCGAATGAAACTATGTTTTTTAAGAGTTTTTATGAGCTTTTCTCCCTCGTTAATTACTCTTTGTATGGTAATCCTTCGGTTTGTTGTTTCCTTTGTACCTTTATGCATCGACCAACAAAATAATAAAAGGGTTAAGTAAACAGCACCTTTTTAACCGATTTCTATATATCTCTGTTCTGATTTGGTCCAATGTTGGTTGAGGGAGGAGATATATACATGTCTCTGAAATTAACCTGAGAGATCCATTAATTGCTTTACTGGTACAAAAATAATATGTAACCCTATATTTGTCTTGGCAAGGAGACAGTATTTATTGGTTTAATGGTAGAAAATAATAAAATACGGTTAGAAAGTGTTCTCAGTGCAAGTTTTTACCATTTACTTTAAAATTCCTCATAATAACATGGTCGATAACCAACCAAGTCACATGTATCATTAGGAACTGTGATGCCATCACAAGTAGCCAAGCTGCAGTTTCATCTTATCACTTGCGAATTTAGAAAAAAAATGTAAATTTCAATAAGATTAATGTTTATTAAAAAAAAAGAATCAGATTTAAACATATAATTTACAATCGGATATCAAAATTTGTTGTTTCTCTTCCAGTCAATATGATAAATAATTTTATGTTTTAAGGTCGATTTGGACAAAAAAAAAACTAAAAAATGATGGGCCTTTCCTTATTCTTTCTCTTTTTGGGGTTGAAATCATCTCTTTACAACAGAAAATAACTTTTAAGTTATTGGTACAAAGTTTTTCAGTATTTCTCCAACAATTAGATAAAATTAAGGTAAATTTATTCTTTTTGCTTTAAAAAAAAATATTTTGTTATTTTTCTAAATAGTTTTCATTTATGATTGGTGAACAATTTTAAAATTTTAGTTAATGATTTTGTGAAAAACATAAAAAACAATTTAAGTTTTAAAACTACAACTTAGCTTATTTGATTTCATTTTATTATTTTTGTTATGCAACAATTATATTTATTATTATAAACTATTTTTCATAAATAAGGGCATTTTTTAAAAAAAAATTGTTTATGATATTTATTAAGGTTGGCACGGTTCCAACCTCTTCTTTTCTGTCAATCCAAGACAGAAAAATATAGTTATCTTTTTAATTGCAGCCATATTTTAGGGTTCTCGCGTAAAATTTTAGGAAAAAATTATACATCCACACTATTAAAGAGTAGGCATGCATGATTTGCATGTAAGCATAACATGTGCTACAGACTATTTTGTCAAACCAAACCGGAAGTATATATTTTACAGCCATATTTTAAGATTCTCGCGTATAACGTGGGGTGGCTTAAAATATAGGGATATTACTTTGAACAGATCCACTAATTTAGCCAAATTGTACAATCCACCGACTATAAATTAGTAGGCAGGCGTATACGCATAACACTGAACACATATACCATAGAAGATCGATCGAGGGATATACATCTATGGCGATATCTCACGCTCAGCCTTTGCTGCTTCTTCTCCTTGTGTCACTTTTTGTCTTACCTGCTCTAGGCATCAAGTTCCAGAAGTGATCTAGTAAGTATATATTTGTTGTTGTTAATCTTCTTCTTTGTAAATTAATGTCTTTTTCTTTCTTTTTTGTTAATAAATTAAAAGACAATTACTTTAATTTGTGGCAGTTGAAGAAAGATATAATCATATAGTAATTCATATCAATTTTTTTTTTAATATAGCTGGTAATCACAACTTCATTGAGGTGAAGACTGTAGAGATGTCACCAGACCCGGTTAAACGTAGCAGTAATGCAAGCATTACGATAACCGGTTATACAAGTAAGTAATTCTCTTATAGACATTAAAGAAAAACTTTGGTATGAACAGGCAAAGACATTGCTGATGGAGCAACTGTAAATTTGGGCCTTTCGATATGGTTTCCAGTGTCTACTAAACGTTACTCACTCTGTGATGTAACGGCATGCCCTGTTGTACCTGGTCCCTTTGTGATTACTTTATCTAACATACTCACTGATAAGGAAAAGAAACGACCAGTAAGTTTTTATCTTTGCCATTTAACTTCGATTACGTCTTATGATAATCTAACAAGACAGTTTGTTTTTTTTTTCTTCTTTTTGAAAACCTTAAGAGGGGATATAATGTTGTAATAGCCATTACCGAGAAGGATCTGGAAGATGAACCAGTGATGTGCGTCATGTTCGCTTTTGTTTTCAAAAGAGGTTATGCGTCTCTGCTTAGTCAAGTTACTGGGTGAAACCTATATGTTGTTTATATGAGTCTCTCTCGTTAATTACTCTTTGAATGGTAACAACCCTAAAGTTTGTATCCTTTTTTACCTTCTGTATGTGTCGTCCAACAAATAAAAATAAAAATAAAAGGGCTAATAAACACCCTTAACCGATTTGGATTTGTCTCTTTGTTTTAGTTTGGTTTGATCTCTCTGAACCGAAGCTGATATATGACGAATAATGAAACCATCTTTTTCTTAAGTGTAGGAAATATTTGTTCTAGGACTATATGAGAAGATGGATTTTTGTTGGTAGGATCAATATTCCAATTTTCACAGCACACAGGCACAAGACAAGAACAGTCTTAGAGACGTTTAACATAGCAATCATATGAACTTATATCATGCGATAAAAAACTTAAGGTAAAGTGGAAAAAATGAACATACATGTATATGTTTTTTTTTACGGTTGATTTTTAGATTTTATGTAATAAATGGACAACTTGCTCACTGGCCTATTAAAGAATTTGTGAATATTGAACGCAAATCTCTAACGATTAATACTTTAGATTAATTTATAAGAGAAATACTTTATACTATATACAGTGTGTTGTACGACTGATTAAAAATAGAATATGCATCACATTCTCGGTTTGTTGTTCCTTCTACAGTTTTCAATGTTAATACTTGACTTTCGTTCTTGTAACCAATTTTGGATTTACCAAAATGTTTGATCATCACAGCTTAACACCTTGAAGTTGAAATCGTCTAATACACTAATAAAATTGATTATAATACAGCAGAAATCAATAAATGAAGTTAACCTGCCGAACAGCTCAATATGTGCGGAGGGTTTTGCTTTCTTCAGACAGAACGGCTCTGCCTTCTCTTTTAGCCAATGATAGTTTTGTGGTAAAAGCTTCTTTTTTTCATAAACAAAAAATGATAAAAACCACATCTATCTTTACAGCAGAAATAATTAAATTATCGTTTCGGGAATCATGCTCGAAACACATGGTTCAAGTTAATGCAACCTGCCAAATAACTCCATTTTTGAGGATTTTTTTGTTTCCCCACTTTAAGACATATCGGATAATACCTGAAGCTTTTTATTTCTCCGAGATATATATATATATATACATATATGTTATAGAATATAATTGGAGATACATATGTGCACAGCTCATATAAGTCAGTCATGTCGATTCTTGTAAAATTCAAAATTCATTAACAGAAGTAATAACGATGCTTATGTTGATACGTGTCAAATAATCTTGGTAAAACTGAACCAAAATCATAAACCACTAACGAGTAACGAGCCAAGTTTAATCAAATTGACGATATCGTAAAAGGAGAGACTTTTAAGTTTTTAACTATAGAAACATAGATTTTTAATTTGCACTACTAAAATATATTAGGTTTTATAATATGTACGTTCTAAAACTGTCAAGTATTTGGAGGCAGATATTAAGATTATCGCGTATAATATGTATAGAGGGGATCAGTCCTACTTTTACCAAAATTTTATACTCCACCCACACTATTAAAGAAGGGTAGGCATGCATCACTGCACGTGTTACATTCTTTTTTGTCAAACCAAACATAAACAAACAAATATATATATATATATATATATATCCATATAGTAATACATAGGGATATTACTTTGATGAACCGATCCACTAATTTAGCAAAAAAGGGTACAATCTACCGATTATATAAAACAGTAGGCAGGCATATAAGCATTACACATATACTAAAATCAGAAAGAAAAAAAAGAGAGTATATTTCGCTATAGAAGATCGATCGAGAATTTGATATATACATCCATGGCGATATCTCATGCTCAGTCTTTGCTGCTTCTTCTCCTTGTCTTACCTGCTGCTTTGGGCGTCAAGTTCCAGAAGTGCACTATAAGTATAGATTTACTTCTATTAATTTCCTTCTTTGTAAATTAATTGTCTTTCCCTTTCTCTTAAATTTTGTTGATAAACAAACAAACAAAAATTATTTCGATTTGTGGAAGTTGAAGGAAAAAAATATAATTTCAATTTTCTTTTTGTAGCTGGTGATGATTTCATTAATGTCAAGACTGTAAAGATATCACCAGACCCGGTTAAACGCAGCAGTAATGCAAGCATTACGATAACCGGTTATACAAGTAAGTAATTCTCTCTTTTAGACATTTTTTTTTTTTTTTGTAAAATGAGTGTTCTTGATACAAATAAAAAACTTTGGTATGAACAGGCAAAAAGGTCCCTGATGGAGCAAATGTGAATTTTGACCTTTCGATATATCTTCCGGTCTCTACTAAACGTTACTCACTCTGTGACGTAACGGCATGCCCTGTTGCACCTGGCCCCTTCGTGATTACTTTACCTAACGTACTCACTGATAACGAAAAAAAACGAGCAGTAAGTTTTGCTTTTTACACACAACACTAGTTTGAGACGAATTCCATACTCGCTGCATTTTCAAGACTTAATCTAACGAGACTGTTTTCTTCTTCTTCTTCTTCTTTTTGAATATCTTAGAAGGGATACAATGTTGTAATAACCATCACCGAGAAGGATTACGAAGCTTCGTCGTTGATGTGCGTCATGTTCGGTTTTGCTTTCAAAAGAGGCTATGCGTCTCTGCTTAGTCAAGTTTCAGGGTGAAACTATGTTCTTTTATGAGTCTCTCTCGTTAATCACTCTTTGTATGGCCAAAGTTTGTATCCTTTTTCAACTTCTGTCATGTGTGTCGTCCAAGAAATAAAAATAAAGATAAAAAGGGCTTATAAATTCCCTTAACCGATTTGGATTTGTCTCTCTGTTTTAGTTTGGTTTGATATCTCTGAACCGAAGCTGATATATGATGAATTATGAAACCATTAGGATTATGAGAAGATGGATTTATGTTTGTAGGATCAATATTCCAAATTTCACAGCACAGGTAGAAGACAAGAACAGTCTTAGAGACGTTTAACATAGCAATCTTTCTTAAACGAGAGTCCACTTACCCAATACATGTTTCCACGCCATAAGATCTTCGGTTTGCAAGACAAGAGATAATTATTTGTTTCTAATACAAGTGATCAGATGCGAATTTGGACCCGCTGATTTTTCTTATTAATAATCTTACCAGTTTAGTGTTTAATCATGCGATGAAATTAGTTAAGGTAAAGTGAGAAAAATGAACATACATTTGTATTGGTATTACGGTTGATTTTTAGATTTTATGTTATAAATGGACAACTTGCTCAGTGGCCTATTAAACAATTTGTGAATATTGAACTCATATATCTCTAACGATTGATACTTTAGATTAATTTATATAAGAAATATTTTATACCATGTTGTACGACTAATTAAAATAGAATATCTATCACATAGAAGCATCAGCAAGTTGTAACAATTGTATTTTCCTTATGTAATTAAACAATTCAGTATCACTTCCTTGACGAGATCATTAGATCCTTGACATCAAATCATAAGATCGTAAACACTATTTAATACCCACCAAAACACAACCCTAATCTCCAAATTTCTATTCTGTTCTTTAATTTTTATTTTCATATGATCTAATGGAGCTATAGTTTGAACTAAGGTTTCTATGTAAACTTCCTCTCAAATCCCAGTTTGATACGCTAATTATTGTTAATTAAGACTCAACATTTTACTTATAATTTGTTTATTTGAGACAAATGTCTTTTTCCTCCACCAAAATAGGCGGCCAACTCACAAAACTATGCAGAGTTTGAAATTTTGATAAATGACGGTGCAAACCTAGGACAAATTGTCTTTTAATCATTTCTACAAATGATGGCTGAAGATGAGTATGTTCAGTTGGTGTTTCACGCCAGACTACAGTTTTGGCATTCTCGCCTGTCAAACTTGGCATATCTGTGATGTATTTTGCAGCTCGGTTGAGATATCTCATGGTAGAACTATCATCAGGATATATTAGCAGTGTATTAGCACCACATTTTTACAGTTTCATAAACTTTCTCTTATAACTACCATCACCCACCATCAGCATAACTAGTTTGGGCATGCCAGCTTTTTCATTCTTGCGTGTTTTCTCAATTTTTTAAAAGCTGCACAGATTTTTAGATCAATGGCCTGTGGTTCTGCAGCATCCGGCCAGTATGAATGGGGTAGATCACTATCGTGGCGTTATTTTGGTAAGCGGCAAACTCATCTTCTCGAAGTCTTGAATAACTACGTCGATTTTGGATCGCTTAAACCCAGATCCACCAACGTTTTCCAAATCCTCTAGTACACTTCACTATAGGGGAATCCCACTGGAAATGTAACATTATCTCTGTCCCATAACTCAGGAAAGAGTCCGCTGTAGTGAACCAAATCCCCAAAAAAACCTCGCCGACGATATCATAGCTGGAGCTGCTCTCATTTTTTTTTTGAAAGATTTACAATTTAAAATACTTTGCTGAAACTCATTACATAATTAGACATTTATGAACTACATTTTGAAATCATAATTGAGAACTTGAGTTACCTATATTGCCTTTATTGAAAAGTGATAGTAATTTTGTTAGAAAAAACCTAAATTTTGACCTTTAATTTCATATTCTATTTGATTTTTTTTTTACCATATTTTGTTTGATTTTTTTTTTTTCCTTTTTGGTTATTCCAAATTGGAGAAATCACCTCTTACACAAATGAAACATCTTCTACATGATCTACATTGCCAACAGCGTCAAGTATCGTTGAATAAGTGATTGCATCATAAACAAATCCTTTATCTTTCATCTCCTTCATCATTCTTGCAGCTTCCTCAAACATCCCAGCATGTGCAAAACATCCAAGAAGAGTGTTATAAGTGACACCATCAGGCTTAACACCAGAACCCTTCATAGCTTCGAACATTTCTATAGCTCGCTTCGTCACACCTGTTCTAGCAAACCCATTCAAGATGATATTATGCGAGTTCACATCCGCGACGCAACCGTTTTCTTCCATCTTCCTAAGCAACGAATTAGCTTCGTTTATCATACCAGCCTTCACCATCCCTGACATAAGCGCGTTGTAAGCATAAACGTCAGGACCGCTTCCTTGGCTCTTCATCTCATTGAAGAGATCCACAGCTTCGCTTAGCTTCCCGCATTTACCAAAATGTTTGATCATCACGGCGTATACTCGAGAGCTTACATTCCCGAAATTCTCTTTCAGCTCCTTAAACAGCTCATTCGCTGCTTCGTATCTTTTCGCCTTTCCAAGAGCGTTGATGAGGCTGCAGTACGCTGCAGGACAAGGTGGGAAGCCTTTCTCATCCATCTCCTCAAGAAGCAACAGAGCTTTCCCAACTCTGTTTGTTTTACAGTAACCATCTATAAGGATCGAGTAAGTGAACTCACTAGGAGATACACCGTCTGACTTCATCTTCTCAAACCAAGAACTCACTTCCGAAACAGGTGCTTTTGACTCAAACAGAGCTTTAATCACGGTGTTGTATGAAACAACAGTGGGAGTACATCTCCACTTTCCCATCTCACTGAAGACATTCGTCAACTCCTCCACTCGACCCACTTTCCCTAAAATGTTCATCAGATTGTTCAAGAACACAACGTCAGGAGTCAATCCATCTCTAAGCATGTTCTTGTATAAACCATACGCTTCTTCTACCCTCCCTGCTTTACCAAGTCCCTTGATCAGTTCTGTGTAAGTATAAACAGTCGGCGAGCAACCTTCTCGTTTCATCTCCTCGAAAAGATCTAAAGCTTTCTCCGCTTTACCCACCTTAAAGTATATCCCCAACAACGTGGTGTATATTTTCTCTGTAGGCTGCATACCATTATCTTTCATCTCATCAAACAGCCTTATCGCAGAATCATCACGACCTAATCTATCATACGAGGATATAAGCGCAGAGTAAGTAATCGTGTCTGGGAAACAGTCACCTTCGTTACACATCTCGTTGTAAACCTCGTGGACTTTCTCGTGCTGTCCTTCTTGCATCAGCATCAGAATCACCGAGTTGTAAGTGCTGGAATTGGGTTTGCATTTGCGTCCTTTCGCCTGATAAAACACAGACAAAGCTTTGCTCACCATCTTAGCTCGTCCCAAAGCTTTCACAAGCTCAGAGAGCACCGATGGGCTGACGCTAACATATGTGTTACGAACCACCTCCTGTATCGTTCTGTACATTTCACCGTATATCCTAGCTTCTTCGAGGCAGCGGATCAAGGTCATGTAAGTGGAGGCATCATGCTGAAAGTTTCTTCTTTTACCAGCCCACTTGAAAAACTGAATCTTGACATTGATCTCAACGTCTATCTCCAGAACCGAACGAACTAGTCGATGATCCACTTTCAGTTTAAGCACCTCCAGGGCTTTCTCAGCATCGGGTCCCCATTTGAAGATTTTCAGTATCCTTATGAATCTCTCATCTAACATCCGCACTGACGGGTCTCTTCTAGATAACTTCCACTTCTCTTGCGGCTTCTCAGATTCCTCAGGATTCGGGATACTAAACATCTGGACAATCTCACGTTCTGCAAATTCCAGAAACACACAAATGTTTTTGAGTCTAAAACCTTTAAGAGCAAAACCATTTCTTGAAATTTCTTCTCAACAGGAAGCCAAATTAGACTTTTTTTTCAAATCCCTTTTCTCCTATAAACCTTAAACCATCAATCTCGAGAAGCGGTGAACAAGAGTAAGAGGGAAAAAAAGTATGCATATTACCTGTTTGTTTAAATCTCTGAGAGAGGTGAGGTAGAGTTGAGACGCTTCGCTTCACGAAAATGGATCGACCCGATATGAAAACCATCTTTATAAACGAGTTTTACAAATTCCGGCGTCCAAAGATCGATATTTCAAGTCGCCGTCGGTGGTTTTAGCATCGGAACGGCTGAGAGATCATAAGAGACATTAAGGTCAGAGAGCTGAAGAAGACGCACGTGAGCTTCACGTGTTTTCTTAAGAGATTGAGAGAAGATAACGAGGCGGTAAAGTCTTAGCTGGCGTTTTTTCATTGGTTAGTATCTTCACAAAGCACTGAACTACTCGAAAATTGCAGAAATTGCCAAAAAAAATAAAGTTTCGATCTTTGATTCCAAATTTCGTTTTACGAACCTTGATTGGGGAACTAACGATGAAACGATCCTGAATTCTGAATTTGTTATCATAGTTTGGGATTTTCCGAGGTCACAAGTCACACTACACAACACAAAGGAAGCTCCTTTTTTTTTTCTGGTTGGCTTTGTTTGGGACAGTGATTTTAGGATTTGCCATTTGCCACACATTTGCAATCTCTAAATACACTTCCCGGAGAAGATGGGTTTCCTAATTGGGGGCTCCTGCTTCGCCCCATCTACTCCTCTCCATTCTCGATTCCTCCCATCCCCTTCTTCTTCTTCTTCTTCTCCGTCGCAGTTTCTGCTTCTTTGCTCCAGCAATGTCGCCAAGTCCAAGCGTCGCCGACCACCATCGGCTTCTCTGCGCCGCCAAGATGCCAACGACGACGATGCTTCCGTTAAGAGAAGAGCTTTTGTTCTTGTGGGCATCTCCGTTCTTCCGTTTTTGCAGCTTCGATCGCCGGCTATGGCGGATGAAAGTGAGTTTTTGGTTACTCTTTTTGTTCTTCTTCCGTGACTCCTCTCTTACTGGCATTAATGTCTACATAGTTATGAAAATTTGCTTCTGCTGATCTTTCATTGCTGTGATCAATTGTTCTCTTTTATTTCAGGAGACGACAATGAGATAAAGACATCAAAGCTTAATCAAGAAGCTGAGGTTTTAAAGACTCTCTTAGAACTTCTCTTATTGAATTCTCAAACCTCCTTGCGTCAATTATGTTTTAAGGTGCTTGAGACTTTACCAAATCAGTATTGCTTTACGTGGTTAGGTTGCAGTTAGTGAAGGAACATCCCCAAATCCATTTCTGTCTCTCTTAAATGGTCTTGGAATTTTTAGTGCTGGTGTTCTTGGTGCTCTCTATGCTCTGGCTCGGAAAGATACACAAACTGCTGAAGAAACCATCGAATCTGTAAGCTCCTCTGCTACTCTTAAACATTTTGCTTAAAAATTGTTGCACTATGTGTTCTTGTTTGCCTTTGATTACTCATGGCAGTTCTATCAGAAATAAGCAATTGTTTAATCCCATTTGAGAAGTTTTAGACGTTATCGTTTAGTTCAAGCTTCTCTCTTTGTTTACTTAAGCTGCCGATAACGTGACTTTACAGCTAAAGAAGCAGTTGAAAGACAGAGAAAGAGCACTAGTTTCCAAGGAGAAAGACTTTGAAGCAAGACTGCAGCGCGAGCAGGAAGAGCGGAAGAAAGAACAAAAAAAGGCAGAAGAGGAACAGTTGTCATTGATCAACCAGTTGACTTCTGCAAAGGATGTGGTGACAGGGTTAGGCCGAGAGCTAAGCAGCGAAAAGAAATTATGTGTGGAGCTTAAAGCTCAAATCGAAAGTCTGCAAACTAATCTATCAAAGGCTGGTGAAGACAAAAAGGCACTTGAAACAGAGCTCAGAGAAAAGCTTGATCTGGTTGAGATGCTACAAGACCGGATCAACTTGCTTAGTTTGGAGCTGAAAGATAACGAAGAAAAAGCTCAACGTATTAGCACATCGCTGGCAGCAAAAGAAGCAGAGCTGAAGAATCTCAACTCTGCTTACACTCAAACAAGCCGAGATCTTGCTGAAGCAAAGTTAGAAATCACACAGCTGAAGGAAGAAGTCACAAGAATTCAGACTGAATTGGACTCGAAGAATTCCGCCATTGAAGAGTTAAACACGAGAACAAGCACTTTAGTGGCTGAGAAAGAGAGTTATATCCAAAAGCTTGATGATGTTTCGAAAGACTACAGTGCTTTGAAAGTGACTTCTGAAGCGCGAGCAGCTGCTGATGCGGAGCTCATTAGCAGGAAAGAGCAGGAGATTCTGCAGCTAAAGGAACAGCTAGATCGTGCGCTAAATGATGTAAATGTGTATAAGGACAAAGTTGCTGAGTTGACTGAGAAGTACGAAGACTCGAAGAGAATGCTGGATATAGAACTGACTAATGTTCAAAATTTGAGGCATGAACTTGAAGGAACAAAGAAAACACTTCTGGTATCTCGAGATCGTGTCTCTGACCTGGAAAAGCTGCTTGATGAGTCGAGAGCTTTGTGTTCAAAGTTTGAATCAGAGCTTTCTAAAGTTCACGCAGAGTTTGATAAAGCTAAGGAAAGATATGAAAAGAAGCTTGACGAGGCAAAACGAGACGGTGAGATTTTGGCTAGCGAACTTGCAGTGGAGAAAGATCTTCTGAAGAAAGCTAAAGACAAGCTTGAGGGACTGACCCATGAACTCGAAGAGTCTACTGCCAAGAACCAGAGCCTCCAGAAGGAACTAGTGGAGATTTACAAGAAAGCCGAAACCTCTAACAAGGAATTGGAAGCGGAGAGAAAGACGGTTTTGGCATTGAACAAAGAGGTGAAAGCAATGGAAAAGCAGATGTTGATGGACAGGGAGGCGAGGAAATCACTTGAAACAGACCTCGAAGACGCAGTTAAGTCCTTAGATGAGATGAACAAGAACACGTCGACACTGTCACGAGAGCTTGAGAAGGTGAATACCCATGTCTCGAGCTTGGAGGACGAGAAAGAAGTGCTGCAAAGATCACTAGAAGAGGCAAAGAACGCATCTAAAGAAGCTAAGGAAAACGTGGAAGACGCTCATATCCTCGTGTTAAGTCTAGGAAAAGAGAGGGAAGTGCTAGAGAAGAAAGTGAAGAAGCTCGAGGAGGACTTGGGCTCTGCAAAGGGAGAGATACTGCGCATGAGGAGCCAACCGAATTCTGTAAAAGCTGTGAACAGTACAGACGACAAAGAGAAGAGTGACGATAAGGTTACTGTGAAGAAAGTTGTCAGGAGGAGAAAGAGCAGCACCAGTTCTTGAAGAGACAAAGGTTATAATGACCAGAGAGCTTGCTTCTTCTCTTATCATACAACTCTAGTCTATTATTTGTAGCCAATATTAAATCTTTGTGTAAATTTTGACAAGAGGCAAATGGCTCCAGAGTTTCATCATCATTGAGAATCATTCCATCAATGATGATATGAAACATAGAGTGAGGAGATCAATGCTATGCATCAGGCTATTCATGTCTAAATTATGATTTCATACTGACATGTTAAAGATGAAAGTACATTTATTATACAATTAAAACCGAAACTTTCCACAAGGAGTTCACGGCTAGCACCAAAAATTGTTTCTAAAGAGGCTACTTTGTCTTCAGAAACAACCATCCAGGACGACAAGTTTTCAAAATTATCCATTAGAAGTATAAAGTTATTCAAATTCGTAAGAGACTCTGCTTTACTTCATGGCTGGCCATGAGCTTTCCATGTTGATGAGAGATCATCCACAGCTTCACCAACTGTTAGATAAAGTCCACTCAGCCCCAGTTTCTCAATGATCTTGGACTTGTGTAGCTTTTCCATAACACTCCCCACAGGATTCACCAGCACAAGCTATTTGAACAAAGTGTAAACATTGGATTAGCGTCTCTTTTTTTTTTCTTTTTTCTCATAGGTAATGATCTTAAATTGTTTTCAGTTAAGATATCTAACCTGAAGTGATTGTTTCTCCAGCCTCCTCCTTAGTTCAAAGACAGCTTCAAGCCCGCTTGTGTCTATGGACGAAACAGCTGAAATCATTCCAAAATAAAGAAGGTATAAGTAAAGAAAATGAGTCAAAAACTCATGAGCGTAGTAGTCTCAGACTGAGAACAGAAGTTACCTGTCATGTCAAGAATTATGCATTTTAAAGTACTGTCATTGTTTTCCTTTATTCGGTTTTCCTCTTCCCTGGTCCATCTCAAGATCCTACAGAACCATAAACTCATTTCCGTAAGAACAAACACAAAAACATATCAAGAAGAAAATAAGTTACCTAGTAACGAAGACAGATATTTTGACTAACCTTTCTTGCAGGTAAGTGCTATTGACGAAGTATATTGGAGATTCGACAGCAAGAATTAGGAAACCAGGGATTCTTGAGGCTTCTCTGTATCTTTCAAGGCTCTGATATATCTGAGTCCCATGGATATTTCCAAATTCTAAAGTGTTTGGCCTGGTTACGTGCAACAAGATCTTGAGAATGGAAACTCCCACCTGCAACAAGAAGTTATCAAACTTAGAATAACAAAACAAACTGATAATTTTGGAAAAACAAGAACCATGAAGAGTTAGTTCTGTACTCACTGCTATTGCTAGGCCAAGAGGTACAGAGACGAAGAGAACGCCAAAGAAGGAACACATGCAAGTGAAGAAATCGAATTTGTCGACTTTCCAGAGCTTGTAAGCCGCTTGATAGTCAATGAGACCTATCACGGCGGTTAAAATGATGGCGGCTAGGATCAAATTAGGAGTGTAGTAGAAGAGTGGCATCAGGAACAAAAGGGTCACAAGAACAGCCGAGGCCATCACGATGTTAGAAACCGCTGTTTTAGCTCCAGCATTGTAGCTTACGGCAGATCTAGAGAAAGACCCTGAAAGAAAAAACAAAAAAAAAATGAAGTCAAAAACATTGTTCCTTGAGCCACAAGGTGAATGGAGATTACTAATCAAGTTAGATTTTAACCTGTTGTAACATAGCAAGACGTGCAAGAACCAACCATGTTCATAAAACCTATAGCCATCATTTCTTTGTTCCCATTAACTTGATAGTTCTTGAGAGATGCAAAAGTTCTCCCTACAGCAATCCCTTCCTGAAAAAAAATCACATTCAGGTCCAAAAGTTAATCACTTGAAACTCTGAGATTTACAAAGAAGCCAGAGATTTTAGGAAAGCTTACTGTAAGAGAAAGGATCCCGGTGATGATACCGGTCTTGATGGCAAGAGCAAGATGAGTACCACTGAAGTACAACATGTTTGATGAAGTTGGATTCAAACCCTTTGGTAAATGTCCAATCTGCATTAAATTAAAGATCGAATCTCTTTTAGTATAATGTTTTCTCAGTCTCAGTTTAAACAGTAACACAAGTCTGGTTACAAAAAAAAAAATGTTCTTACAAAAGAGATGGAGTGAGTCTTGGATCTGATGAGGTACACAAGCAGAGTTGAGATAACAACTGATGCTAAAGGTGATGCAGCTGATATCCAGAAAAGCTTTGGCTTCCTCATGCTCTATACATTCGCAAAAAAGAAAACATCAACAAGAAATGTTAAATATTTGATTGCGGTTAATCGCTATTAGAAAATGCCTTGAGGGTTTTTGCAAAGTGCTTACAATGTGTCTTGTGGTTAAGAGAATGCTCAAGAAGCTAAGCCCCATCAGAATAGTTTCCCAAGACCACTGAAATTGTAGTAATTAACATCATTAGATAAGAATCTTTATGGGTGTTTAAAGAGGAAAGTAAAGTTTGACTTACTTCAGATCGATTGTTGATAACAGAGGACATGACAGGGATAAACTGCATTTTGCCAGTGAAATGAACAATTCCAAGAAGACCCTTAAGCTGTTGAAGTGACACAATCACTGCAGCACCAGCAGTGAAACCAACCAAAGTTGCCTTTGACAAAAAGTCAATCACAAATCCCAGCCTGAAATTATAATAAAAAAACAATAATATAAAATATTTAGTCCAAAGTTGCTGACCATGGAAAAAATAAACAGTGAAACCACTAAGTAAGAAGGAAGCATCTTGGGAGGTAGACATTAGTACATATGTCACTTGTCACCATCAAATCAAATTATATAGAATCTTGGTCTTTTTCATATTTAACAAATGTTATTAATCTCCCCTCTAATCTATTCATCATGACGAATTTCCCTTTCGTTTTCGGTGTTATAAGTTCAACAAAAGAGACTTAAGCAAAACTGTGAATATATTCTACACAAAGGAATACTAAAACTGCAATAAGAGGCATTACTACATATTCTTTCACATGACGACTACAGATTCTAGAGATTAATTTGAGTTTCTGATTAAATTTTTTTGAGAGATTATAGATTTGAAAGTACCTAAGAAGGCCAAGGGAGGCTTGGAAGAGACCAGCAAAGAAAGTCGAAGTGAAAGCCAATTTGAGATATAGAGTTAAGTCTTGTGTGGGAGAAACACTTTCACTTAGCATTGAGCCCATCACAAGTGATGCTATTGAGACAGGACCAACTGCAAGATGTTTTGAACTCCCAAGAACTGAGTATATAAGTGGTGGCACAAAGCTTGAATCTGCATGCAACCCCAGAATTGATTAATTAGAAACTTGATTTAGTTAATTGGACTGATTAGTCTGTAATTAGTTGATGATGATCGATACTTACAAAGACCAATTATGGGTGGTAAGTTTGCTAGCTTGGCATAGCTGATTCCCTGCAATGTAGATTTTTAAAAAATTGTAAGAAAAAACACATTAATAATTCTAAGCGAGATGATAATAAAAATAACGAAATTAAAATATTGATTACTTAAATTTATTGAAACATTGAATGACATTAAATAGTCCAAAACAAAGACAAACAGAAAAAGAAGTTTTTTTTCTTTTGCTTTAAACTCTCCGAGTCCAAACCAAGTCATCCCCACACCACTCAACGATTATATGACAAAAAAAAAAAACTCTTCTGTAACGCCTTTTATTATCCTACCAACATATAAAAATCATATTTTTGTCGAAATTGAAAAAGGTATATGATTTTCTAACCAGAGTAGAAAAACTGTAAAACAATACTCGAATTGGTAGAATAATGATTCTTTGAAAAAACTCAGATAAGAAATTAGTAAGAAAATGGTAAACCGATTTGGAATTGGAAAAAAAAAAAAAAAATCATTGAACAAGAAAATATTCAGAATCCTAATAGAGGAGGGATTATGTAAAGTGTGTAAACCTGAGGGATAGCGAGACTGGCAATGGTGAGACCAGCGACAATATCGGACCTAAAGAGCTTGAGATCGTACTGAGAGCCCCATGTGAATATCGGGAACAGGCTCTGAAGACCAAGAATCACTCTGTTTCCCCATGCCTGGTTCCTAAACCTCTCTAACGGATCGTCGGGGAAGAAAACATCCGCAACGCGCTTTTTCAGTTTCTGAAACGCTGTTCTCTTCGGCGGTAGACAAACGCTGTGTATCTCCACGACCGTTTCTCTCGCGGCGGTTCCATTGTTGGGAGACGACATGTCTTCTACTCTGTTCGTGCCATGACCCATTGGTTGTTATGTGAGAGCACAAATTCAATTCTTATTTTGTGATTAATTTTAAGGATTGTGTTGTAGGATTTTGTGAGATTGTTGGTATAATTGTGCTCTGTATTTATAGAGACACTTGGCTGTGGAAGTGTAGTTGGTCTTAATGGCAAAAGATTTTGATTTTCACAAACAAAACAAAAACAAAAAAAAAAACTTTGAAAAAGCGGTTTCTATTTGATGGTTGGGCTTACAGTGGTAAATGCGTCATTTCACACGTAAGTCGGGTGAGTGAAACGTAAAAAATAAATAAAATCTTGAGGAAATCATATTTTTTCTGTAGAGCATGGCATTATGAACAAGAATTCGATGAGATTGAGGAAAGATTATGTGTATATCATACAAAACCTGATTCAGAGTGATTGCTTTCGACTTACCTGGAGTAATCAAAAGAGATCGATGATAGAAAAACTGAATCTTCCACACTGGTGATTCAAAGATAAATCAGCATTTAAAAAATTGTTCACTGTGAGATTTTTAAGAATCCTATAAAAATACACTCCTTATGACGGTCCTTATATAGCACATTTTAATATACGTTTCCTAATCTATCATATTTATTTGAATTTTTCAGCATTAACACAATAGTGTAGGTGAAATTAATTAAAGCGCATTTTATGATTTCAATTTTTTTTTTTAATTAAATTGTTGGCAAGTGTATGCATGCATGTCAAAAAAAAAGCACACTAATTTATGGTAGTTAATGTATATGCGTATTTGGTCAACTTCTTGGAACATTTGTAAGTGCAAAGTATTCAGCATTTTAGGTTAGATTTTCTTATAAAAAGGAAATAAAAAATGACTTTGAATTCGATAATTTGGAAATGGAAACAAAATTTCGAGTGGCTTTGCAAAATGCAGTGTCAAGTAAAAAAAAAAAGGACTTACAGTCAACAGTGTTTGCGTGGATCAACTCTGAACGTCGATTATTTTCGGGTGATGAGGACAGTTGAATATGGAAGACTGGTGGGGCCTCCACTTTTAATGGCTCAATTTAAGTTGTAGGAAATAAATAAAATATAAAAACCTTTTTGGTTGATAACAATCGTGTAGGTTTTTATATTGAGCCATTAAAAGTGGTTAAATAGAGCTCTTGAACAAAGAAAAAGAATGGTTACAAAGATTCCAAGTTGATTCAAAATTACTTTTACACCGATTCAAGTATAACTACAAATTTTTATAAACGCACCTAATTCATTCTTATCTTCCATCATCAATAAAAGCAATATCTAAAAGATTTAATAGTTCCATATTATTAATTATACATACACACAGATCCCTTCAAATCTCCATGAGAGCTTACTATTGACCAGAAATTTTTTGTGTTTAGCAAAACTTGAACTGGTCACTACCAAAGCCATTTTAATTACCCTTATACTAAGCAGCCATTGAACATAGCACTAACGGTAAGAAAACTACTAATTATCCACTAATGACAAAGTCTTAATTGGTAAACCTGCTTCCTTTGTTTACTAATCTGACGCCGTAGATGAAACAAAATGTTAAAAATGTGGCTCAAATTAATAGATAGTCGAACACATCATGATTAGAACTTGAAATAATAGAACTATATGCGTAGTTGATTGGTCCAAAGATCAACTTAGTGTTTTGAGAATTTTTTTGTTTTTTGAGTTTCTGAAGGACAAAAAAAGAGATTTGTCTGAAATTTTTGACCCAATAAAATAGTATTTTTCTTTTATGGCTTGAGTGTTCTTTTCACCCATATTGCTTTCTACTTAACATTGATCGCAATTTGTTCGTATTTAAGTGATATCATTTAAAATACTTATAAGGAATTAGGTCTTAAACTTTGTTTGGCAACTTCCGTTCATATTTTGTCTTCTTAAACTTTTTTTGGCTAACTTATTATCTTCATGTTTTGCAGAACTATTTAGAGTAAAAAATCAAACCTTGTACGTACTAAGTAGTCAGTTTATCTAGTGAGCATTTCAGAAACTGTGGGTCTCAAATTTTAATGTACTTCGTGTGAAACAGTGAACCAATGAAACCAGTTTGATCATAATGTGTGAGAAAATGTTCACAAAAAGAAAAAGAAAAAACGGGTTTATTTTTACCGTATATTATTTACGACTACATTTTAAGTTTACCATGTCAAATACCGGTCCAGGAAACTAATTTTAATAGAAAAGATTAAGAAGATTAACGAAAATCTTATTCAGAACTGACATCCATATAGAAGATTATAATAGAAAGATATTTGTACTCCAAGAAAACGTATCTTTCTAAATAAAATTTCGACTGGTATGATTTGTTTGTCTCAGTCTGTAACATATAACCAACATATATAAATAGTGAGTGGCATATTATACTATAAGACGAACCACTCGGAGGGCTCCATCTGGATTTGTAAGATTCTTTTTATCTATTTTATTTTCCGAAAGCAATATACACTTTAATTATCATCAGTATCCCCCCCTCCTCCCGATCTCTGTCCTTTTTCTTATCTGATTTATTATGTTTTTTTGGGTAAGAGTAGTTTATTACTTGAGATTCGATTTAGTTAATTATAAACGATTGATCATTATCCATCGACGTGTATTTAGACAATTTACGTAACATCATAAACACCGTCTGCCTCTGAGTATGATCTTTACACTTTTACAGCGCAGTGCTCATTTGTAAAGAAAATGGCCTAGTGAAATAATTTTGTCACAAACATTATTTTTGTTTTTGTCACAATTCATATTTAACAATTGGTGATGATTTTTTCATACTTTATCGAATAAGATTTTCAGCTGTCAATAAGCTAAATGAAAGAAAAAGGAATCCACTACTTCTAACAAAGACTTGACACGTTAAATCTTAAAAGCATGTTAACTAAAATAGTAATTGGAAAATGAGAACTTAGAAGTTAGAATAGACTGAAAAGAACTAATGCATATATTCTTGTATCGCAAAATGTTGCTTTAAATCTCCGTCCCACAAATAACTAATCATTCCCCAAAAATCTTATAATTAATAACAAAATAGATTCCAATAATATCAGTATATTAAAGAAACATATCCTAAGGTTTTTTTTTTTGCTTAAACATATCCTAAGGTTGAAATCAAATATATATCAAATTACAATTTCACGTCTTTCATAGTTGATTTTTTGTTTGTATAAGGGATATATCTGATCATGACTAGCTCAACTAGTTAAAATCTTTAAAACGAGTTGATGAGTCATGAGAGATAAAACAATTTAGCCTTTGTACAGCACCACCAATATCATTGGTGAAAACTGGATCGATAAAAAAATTGATCTATAAACCTTGAAAAACTATAAACCAAGATCAAGTTTCCTAATATAACATATAGAATATGTCTTCTTGGATTTGGATGACCTATAGCTAACTGAACAAACTCAGACCAAACTCATCCGAAAATGTAATATTCAGTGCTAAGACAATCCAACTATATATCCACGATCAATGCATCCACGCAAATATAATACGTATAACCAATGTTGGGTTTCATGCATGGTAAGTAAAGTTATGATCTCCTACTCAGAATCGTTAATTGAAAATTAGGATCCCTATATAAAATAGAAATAGAGGTATTTTTACAAATAAAAAATAAAAGTGAAAATGTATTTTCTTATAAACAAAACAGTGAAGACTACAAGCTCTTTTTATTTAGAATCGCATATTATTCTATTTTGCATTTTTTTTTTGTTTTTGTTTTTGCGTTTGTATTGATTCAGATGGAAATTTTCTTATATATATAGACCCTAAAATTTGAGGTACTAAACAAACATTACATGCCCAAGACTGACCTGGTTCTACTAATCATCATCAATCTATATAAACTAAGCTTATTAAATATTTATCACTTACGATCTCTTGATCAATCTGTTTGTATAAACTATAATAGAAACCGCATTTATGAAAATCGTTACTGTATATGCAATATGCAAAAGGCCAAGGTGGAAGAAACAAAGAAGGCCAACAAGAATCTCTAGAAGGGAGCACGCGGACGCGACCTCTCTCGTTACGCGGCGAGAAGAAGAGGCGCCATTATATTCCATTTACTGTATGTGTTCAGATTTTCGTTTTTTTTAGTTAGATTCTTCTTGCTTTATCTTTCTATTTCTTTATTTCTTCTTTCGGAAATTCGTGGGAAAACACAAAAATCAAATTCTTATTTCTCTCTCTGTTTTTTTTTTTAAATTGTTGTGTCATATCATATTTTTGTAAAAAGGAATAATTGTGAAAAGAATTGTTAATAGATATAAACCTATATAAACACAATGGCCCTTTTTTGCTTTATTTTATTTAATTTTTCAGTGAAATATATAAACCTCTTTGTCCACTTGTTCCCTTTCCCCCAAAAAAAAAACATTAGGTACTATGTTATTTTTTATATGTTTATTCAATATTGGGTTCTCACGAATCTATATCGTATGCACGCATTCGAACCAGATGTATGGTTATGGAGATACGCAGATATATATTATTAGTATAAAACAAAATTTTGTACAAATTGGTTGCAAAATTCAACACACGACTAACTTGTTTTCTACTTGTTTAGTGGCTTCAACATATTTTCTTCAGGTGGAAACAGGTATATTGATGCTCCATCATGCTCACAATTCATAAATATTAAATGAAGAGAATCATCAATATATTACTACTATTTTCCCTAATCAATATATAGTAAACATTCGACTATATCAAAGTTGCAACTTTCAAAAAAAAAAAAGTTCACAACCTCTGCATTGGCATGTGTGGATACAATTATGCAGATACGGTTTAACATTATAATGTGCTGGGACCAAAAAGTCTATGTGTGCTTTCTGTCCGGATCTAAAGCTAGTTTATGGTCTAGATGACTAGATTCGATCGAATTAAATTCAAACTGCATAACCGATCAATTAAAACAGCTTTGGTTTTCTACAATATAAATTACGAGGTTTATAGAGTTATGGATTTTCAACTCATCACTATTTTTTTTAATGAATA